GTGACTCTGGTAGGTAGGACATTGCATTTTCCATAGATGATATATCACTGTTGCTTGCATAATATTCCTTTGAGGTGGGACATGACTTAATGGCATTCTTTAGGCATGTTGTCGCTGTTTTAACAACGTCCTCCTTCTTTGGCTCAATATAGAACTTTTGCAGAATTTTTGCAGCAAAGGGTCGCATGGTTACAACATCAGTTCTTCCATCCAGCTCTGTGAAAATAGCATCTTCTCCGAAACGTTCTTTGATCCTCTTCTTCATGTATACAGCACTGTATGAAGAAGTTTTAGATTCCTGAAGGAAGTCAGCCATTTTTTCAACTAAATCTTTAACGGTGAGCTGTTCCTCGTCATTTTGTTCAAAAAATTCCATAGCCCTTTCAAAGGCATAATTTTGCATTTCTTCCAGTGGTCTGCCACGCTTCGTCTTCTTTTGAGGTGCTGCGCCTTCTTGATTTGATGTGAAAACTAAAGGGATTCCTTTTCTTGTCCTAAAGTTTACACTGCATTTTTGGTGGTACAAAGCATCTGCAGCGTGAAGATCAATAGCCGATTCAATTCTCTCAGCGACCTTTCTTGCCCATTCATCATTTCTTTCATTGCATATTTCGGAAACTGTATTCTGAAATTCGAAGGTCCTCACCGGTACAAGAGAAAAGTCCTTCTTCTTCCCTTGGTAGCGGTCCCCCTCACCACAAAACAGACAGTGCTCTTTAACGTTGAATTTCTGAGCTTCAGATCGAAGTAAACGCTTGCCCCTTGCTTGGGAGGTCTCTCTTGCAGCCGCTGCTATATTTTGTGGCTTTGTGAAATTTGCACGACAATCCTTGTGAACTGATTGACCAGCAGTAACATTTATCACGTCGCCTCGCTCTTTACTTGCGTTGTTGATTCCATTTACACCTTTCTGACGAAGAACGACACCTGCTGCTATGTTCCAGATTGGTTTTTTGCAGATAACACACTCCATCTTACGTAACTGTCATGCAGACCATTTTGCCGGTTGTAGACTACGTTTTATTATCTGCACAAAGAAGAAATAACGCAAGCAACAAACAGGTTCTCTGGTCAAGATTCAAGGTCAACATGCAATTTGATCATATGCTCGATCGCAACAGCTCCTTCACCAAGATTTGTTTTGAAATGGTTCGAGAGGACTTCCCCAAATAAAGTAAACATCACAATTAAGTAAGCACGATGTTGAATAAATATCTATTCAAGAGTGGGTAATTATCTTGGTAGATTTAATGGAAATACTACGAGAGTCATTGTAAACCCATATGCCTTCTCGACTTTGACTTCTACGTTTAAAATCCATGAATTTTGTTTTGCTAAACCACCTTAATTCAGCTGGCAATTTGGACACTTTCCACTTCTAGAATTTCTTAGGACTTTTCATATGTTATAGAGCATTGTTTAATTAGCCAAACAACCATTATTTCGTTTCTGTTGCAATTTGTTTGAGGTTCGACCATTTTTTGACTTAGTTTTACTGGACTATTGCTATTTTGCAACATGATTTGTTACCACCGCGCATGCATAAGCGGCAGAAAAAAACGCACAAAAAATACTTTACAAACTGGCACAATGCTAGAGGGCAGAAGTGGCCTTGTGCTCCATTCAGGGGCCACGCACTCTTGAGCATACTTAATTTTATAACTCCTCGTGGGAGGTTAAGTTTTTTGTTTGTGTATTTTTTTAAAATACGTTTTCTTTAATACGTTAAAATACGTACTTGGTTTTCTTTTTAATTTTCATTGTAAATGGGGGATGACCCTGGTTAAGCGACAGGCACATATCCTCCCCCAAGTTGCATTGTATCCGACAAATATTCAAATCAATTACAACATACCAAAGAAAAAATGAATCCACATTAATGCAATCATACATGCAAGAAAAATAAAAACTTGCAAGTTAAACCGAGAATCAAATTTACAGAACTTAAAGTAATTCTCGAATTTTCAACTTATCTCTTTCAAAGCGAACTTGTAATCTCTGTCTCTTTCAAAGCAAGTTTTAGGTCTGTATCCCTGTCAAGGTGATGTTTCAGTCCCTATTCTTTTCAAAGAAAATTATCTGTCTCTGTCAAAGCAAATTTTCAGTCTCTATCCGTTTCAAAGCAAATTTTCAGTCTCCATCTCTTTTCAGTCTCTATCTCTTCTATCTCTTATATGTTAGCAAGACAAAAATAAACAGCTACTGCGTAGTGGTATGCAGGTGGAAAATCTCCTTCGCAGTGGATCTTGTTAGAAATTTGCTCCAGTGGCCCTGCATCCCATGTACCGTTAATCTGTGCATTGGCCTCTATTTGTACAAGCCCCCCGAATTACCCCCTACCCTAGCAAGTTTGTTTGTAATATGGAATTGAGGAAAATGAGCACTTCTTCCTGCTCTGCCTTCTGTTTGCTTCTATGTGCAGTGATCTCCTTGGCCAGCTTTCATACCTTCCAAAACTGGATTTAAACAGCATCGATTCAATAGCCTTACTTAACTTGCTTCTTTACGGTAACCCAATACCTAATGAAAGTGACAATCGAATGGTTCTAGAGGCATCCATAGCATATATTAAAGCAACTAAAAGACTTTACAGAAGTAGAAACTTGACGATTAGCGACCTTTTATTTTTGTTGGGTTTTCGTTTAAGTAAGCGCTTTGTGAATCATGGCATTAGCATCATTAACCAAGTGTATAGCTTCCCTTATCAACTCGCCTACTGAAACCTATCTTGTCGTCTGATGCTGTCATTAATATACCTGTAATCTACCAAAAACCACGATTCGCCTGGCCTAAACTGACGTATGCAAGCGCCTGCCAAACGAAATGGTACCATGGTTCTCAAAGTGTTTCTGTTATAAGGCTTCTGTTAAAGAAATTGTTAAGTCCTGTTCATAGTCAGAATAAGACCAGAATCATAATGTCTATTTCTGCTGTGGACGGCACAGATTATCTTTCTTGTGTTTTTAACAGTGATTAGCTTCCATCCAATACCCCCACCACTAATTAGCTCCCATCCATAAACCCCCATGAGATAAATCCAGAATTTACTGTAATGATGTTAAAGTGACGCTAAAAGAATTATTTATAGGCATATAATGAGGAAGTAAAAAAGGGTGGCCCTTTTTGTGTCCACCTGAAGCAGTTTGGAGGACTGTTCAAAATATAGGACCTATATATTTATATTAATCAGAAAAATCCAAGGGGAAAGCGCCGAAATGAGAACTCGCTTTGTCATCCCTTGAAAGGAAAGGAGCAGAAAGTAGCCTGTGTTCCAGACCCCTAAATTGAAGCAAACAATATTGACTTCTTGATGAAGCAACACGATGAAGCAAACAATATTGACTTCTTTTCTTTTCCCATTTGGAAAGGCTCGGTCCAAAATGGCAAATAAGCTTTGCTATCAACAACAATGGAAATAATTACATTGTGACGTCACATTGAACTCTTTCAAGTCTTCAGAGAAACTTTGATTAGCGTTCATGTCGTGCTATGCTGCTAGAAACACTCTGCAGCAATCAATTTTGCAGCCACAGCCGAGCTTTGTGACAGTGTTTCGAGACGCTCTTACCACTAGTATTAAACATTTGATGCTCATAATGATCGCCGATCCCTTTCTGGAGTTTTATATGAATGGAGTATATTAATGTTAAAAAAAGAGACTTCCAAACAGGGGCTTAGAGCCGGAGATGCACCAGTGGCACATGCCCAATTTATTTTAGAAAAACCACCCTGTTAATAGATGCAACTTAATTGAAAAAGTCCCCCCATTTTTGTTACACGGTGTCCCTTCGATCCTGCTCCCCTCGAACTTTGACATGCTTATGATGTCCTTGCATACAAAGAACGAAAATTGCTTCTTCATGGCACAGCAAGTATTAATCCAAAACAGAAAAGGGAGGTCCAAGTTAAGTTTCTCTTCTTGCCTTCTCCATATTGGATAGTCTTTTCAAGGAATTGTCCCTAAAGATGCTCTATACAGCTGTGTTTTGGCTTGTGATACCTTTGTTTTCAAAAGCTCGAAAGGCTCAAATCCATCGCAAAACATTATTAGAGGTATGGTTTTTGATACCCCGAGTTTGGTCATGGCCAACAAATGAGGAAAAATGTGCTGGTCGAAGAAATAGACGTAACAAATTCTTTTCAACCATTACATTGTGACGTCGCATTTAAACACATCAGGGACATTGAAATATGCCTACACATGTCGTGTCATGCTGCTAGAAATACGTAGCAGGTTAATGGCAAAACACGACCCTGACACAATCAGTTTTGCCTAGCAATCAATTTTGCAGCAACAGCTGATCTTTGTGATAAATTTTCGAGACCCTATTACCTCTGCCGATGCAGTGGCTGTGATGGAAAGAACGTCCCTTTCATATAAAGCGCGATAAATTACATGACAACTAGAGCTAGCCAAACTGCCTACCAAGAACTTTTCGCATTTTTAAGAAATAATGTCCGCCTCCGCTCACCGGGTACAACTTCTCTGATCAAATGTTTTTTTATATTTGAACTTAAACAAGAAAGATACTAAATAGATGTCTGTCTAATCGAAAAGTAGAAATACCACTTCAGATTGATAAGCTTGCCGCTTTCCAAGAACAACCTTCTGCATCTGACCCGCTTTAGGGTAACAATTTCAATAACAATAACAATTTCCCTTTGAGAGAACCCATCTCTCTTGAAAAGGGTAGAAGGCATAGCATTTGCCCGGAACTTTTTGCCCCAACAGATTTCAATTTTAAGTTCGATGATCAAGTTAATCGAAGCATTTAGCATGTTTACAAAACCGTAAAACAGCACTTCAAATATGAAACGAAAAGAAGTTGAAGTTAGAGAACAACTACAGGAGAATTCGCGGTAAAATGTGCAGTGTTTTCAACAAAAGGGCAAAAATCTCCCAATAAAGCTCTCCATTTTGTCCAGAGTTTTTAGTTATCCGCCCCCCCCACGATTTTTTCCTGGAATAGAAACAAGTGTTTAGTAAGAGCGGTACAAAATACAATTTCAAAAATACTCAAAAGTCGATAACGAAGGTATTAAATGCTACAATATAATAAATGCTACTGGTATATCCTCCACTTTTGAATAAGATACCATACAACGATGTGCTTTTGACGTCATGATTAAATACAACTTGAATACAAAACAATACATCATCAACAAATTCTTAACTTTATAACAGTATGTGCATATTTTTCGATGCAAGGGTTCCGTGTTACTCAAATTTTGCAGAAAAATGCAATTATATATGAAATGTCTTCCAACTATTCTGAAAAGGAAAATTGTTTAACCTACAATAAATCACGTCGTTAACCCTTGCCCTATAAGCAAACCAGAACCACAGTATGTGCACTTAACTATTTTCCTCGAAATTCTAATGAAGCTTATCATTAGCTGGTGAGAGATATCTAAAATTCACTGTATAAAACTGCCATAAAATCTAGCTTACAAGCAATTTCAGAAACAATCAAAAACCAGTCATGTCCTCCTTAAATACCCTAGAGCTAAAAGAAACGAAAAAATACACAAAAAACTTTCTAGTACAACTAAGTCCATGTGTTGAGTCTAATGCTTGGTATCCACAGTCATACCAGCAAAAGTTGACGTTGGTAAATACATGGTTGCATGTGTTGAAAAAGGTGGAATACAGAAAACTTCTGATTCTGATCTATAAGAAGAACCCATCATCGTCGTCTTTCTCTGGTGGTGATGCGGCCGCAGCACCAGGCTTAGGGCTCGGGGCATATGAAATCGTTTCAGGGCCGTATGAACTCTGCGATGGGTAAACTGGTTCGGCTGGCTGGGATCTGAGTTCCTGAAGAGGAATCTCTGGCTCTTGCTCTCTTTCGTAGTAAAAATCATTTCTGCGTGTGGGTGGCTCCTCTTTTGCGGGGGCTTTTTCATGAAGCGTCAAAGCAAGTTTTTCTTCAATCGCTCTATACTTCTTTTTGTAGTTCTCAACACATTTCAATGTTATGAACAGTAGCACGACAGCAAGGACAATTAGGACGCACACAATACCGATTACTACAGCTTTACCGAATGTGTAATTTGAACCAATCGGGGCAACTGTGACGACAGGGTTTCTGAATTTGAACTGCTGCGGAGGAATAATTGGTGGCAAAGCTGGCGGGACAGGCAGGGTATCTCCACAGGATCCATTCACTGGTGCTTGCGATCGATCCAGACTGGGGTTTTTCGTTTGGAAAAGATGACCCATATCAATGTTGACACCAATTTTAGCACCCTGTGGAAGATACTGATAACGGAGCCCAGTGATGCAACCGACGAACGTTGTAGGGAATCCGACAAGCAGAGAAGAGCGCCTACCAAGAGCCAAAGTGGCCGGTTCAGGAAATAACATTGTTGTGAACGGTGCCGAGATATTACGAACGCCTTTTATCGGGCTGTCGCTGTTATCAAGAACGTACGTGAAAATCTGATTTTCTTTGTGATGAATCCTAATTATATGTCTTTTATTGTCGTTGAATTTTCCCAACGTTGTTTGCTGTGGGTGCTGTATATCCAACGACTGCAGATCCGTCTCAAGAGGCCTGAAGTTAAATAACAGCTTCAGCACTCCATTAATTAATAACAGAGTGATATGGGCGTTCCCATCTCCACGTAACTGAGAAATCACTGCATTCGCCTCATTTGTTTTGAAGGCAACGTTAATGTATCCTTCCTGCACTTGAACTTTTTTCTGGAAAGTGTACCTGAGGAATTTACCACTGGTAAAGACGAATGCATTTTGGTCTGAAAAAAATTTATTTGGTGAATTCAATTGATTGAGTAAAGACATGCAGAGCCGTGAAGTTAATAAAATTTCAATGCTTATAATAAAATGCACCAGAGTCAGGAAAATATCACGGTCCCACGGCCACTGGCCGGAGGAAGGTAATAGAACCAGAAGAAATTGAGGAAGGTGGCCAAAAAATTGAAAACTTGAGGAAGTTGAAAAATCTTTATAGCCTTTTTATTTAAAAAAAAACCATATATACAAAAATGAAAAAAATCAGAACAAAATTCAAAAGCCTTCCGTTTTTTTAATACGAATATTTTTGCAGAACTAGTTTGCACTGTAAAATTTAGGCATTAACTTTTTATAATTTAAATACTTGCATTACATGGTTTTTTTATCAATCAATAAAAGGGTTTTACTTAACATCGGTTTATAAAAATATTTATAATTGAAAACAATTTACAAATTTCTAGTAAGGTTTTGAAAAAACAAATGCCAGAAGAGGAGACAAAGACTGGCTGGCTGTGTACCCCGTTTTCTGACCATACCCATTTTAAACCCATACACCAATTCGACTTACGGCCTCATCTTGAAAAATTCTTAAAAATCGTCTGTACAAAAGTTTTGACCTCAGATTCGGATTTTAGTCTTTTTGGAAATTATAGTTTTGCTCACGGATATTGAATTGATGACGACATAAAGATATAAAATGTATAAGGGATTTGACCGTGATTGGCGACTAGGGGGGTAAAGTTTCACCCGGAATGATTTTTGGGGTCAAATCCCTTAAAAGTTTTCAAACTTCATTTCTCCGTAAAATCTAAAATACAAGCACAAACAATATAAAAAATTGCATCCTGCCTAAAATTATGGCGAGAAAGCAAATCTGAGCTTAAAAAAGTCGTATAATTAAGTTTGGAGAAATTTCCAAAACGAGGTTACAAGTCGAATTGGTGTATTAAAATGAGAAAGGTTTTATGGTAAGATTTCCTTGGTCAGTGAAAGGTGGACAACTTTTCTGGACTCCAAAGGCCACTTAAACTACTCCTCTGAATTACAATTATATTAAGCTATCAAATTAAAACAACACACATTTAAACTATTAAGATAATATAAAGGATTAGGAATTTTTTTTCCTCATTTTTCTAGCCGTCTTTATGCTCGATGTATTTTGCATAGCATGATTATAAATACAACTCATTGTGAAATCTTCACTCGGTAAAAACTAAACACTTATCCGTCATTTGAACCAAAATAACGAATAAAAGCATTATCTTTCTTGAATGCGAATATAGTTTGAAATAAAAAAGTAAACACAGTTTTAAATATATATTTCTATCTACAAAATCTATTTTCTACAAATGGAAAAAATGCAGCAGATCCACGAAACAAACAAAAACAGACAAACCTAGAGAAAAATAGAAATATATGCATTTGCAATTCTTGCGGAATTGTTTGCATTTCTTTTGTGATAAAAAAAATTAAAATGAAGCAACAAAGTATATCTTACCATATTGGCAATGGTTACCACTGAATGCCGAAACCGAGCAGTTGCAGAAGTATTTGTTGTATTCTTCGATACAGAATCCTTGATTACAAGGGGATTTGACGAGTTTACAAGCGCTTCCTTGTCCCGGGTATACACCGATTCGCGATAAACCCTCTGCCTCGGTTGGAAGATCAACAAGCTTTCCCCCATAGTACTACAAAAAAGAATTATCGCTAAATCAGGCATTAAGCAGATTACAAGTAAATAAGGGTGCATAAAACTCACAGTGTGCCTCGATTTCAACGCTTTTCTCACCAAATAACATCAGCAGAGATTAAAAATTTTTCCGAAATTATTTCAGCGTTTAATTCCCGAAATTATTTCCGAACAAAAAAATTATTTCTTTCCTGGAAATTAGTTGTCGAGAAACTTAATATAATGGCTTTGAAAACATTATCTTTAAAGAAGAATTTAAAAGAGCAAAAATTCTTGCGTAAGGAATTTTTTCAATTAAGTGCCTCAGGAATGTTATGATTTTGAGGGAAAAAATGGCGGGTTGGATCTTCCCTTAAGTTTTTCAGAAAGTAATTTAAGCGATGGACTGCTTTCATCTAAATATGATGGGTTTATATGTTTTGATAAAAAGATTCATATCCGCTCTTGCGAAATTTAGAAAAGGGTAAAGAGTGGAAAACCGAATTCTTCAAAAATTTCTTGAGAACATAATTTTCTTCCCATAAGGACTAAGGCATCCAGCCATGGATGGAAAATGGGCCAACCAGAAACGGAGGCTTACCTTGGATTATCGACTTGAATGGGACTTGGCTTATTTAATCAGAAAAATGCTTCCTTTCATCAAAATATTTTCTGGGAGACACAGGATCCGATTCCAGTTCTAGCCGTGTATGTACTTTCAGAAGAACCTTTCAGACGTGGTCCTCGAATAACGTTGCAATAAAAGATATGAACATTAACTTACAAATGATCTTATAATTCCAATGAATCCTTCGCCTAACCCATCATTTCGACCGCCGACGTAGAAAGGGCTTCCATCAACATCAAGATGAGTAATGCCATACTGATAATGAAACTCCACAATGCGAGTTATGTTATCAACTGTAAAGTTCATTTCCCTCCTGTTCCAATCTAGACGTAGCTTGTGCGGCAAATTATCATCGAATGTTCTATTCAAAACGGCAATGTCCACATCCAAATGCATGTTCTTGTAGTATCCTATACAGAATAAATAGTTTGGATAATACTGCAAATACTTTTCAATTGTAAATACTACGATAGTACTACAATTGTAAATTGGCAATTGAAACAGAATCCTAACCAGTGGCGGAAACTTAGTCAAATATGGGGGAGGGGGCAGGGCAAGCATATCATTTTGATAAGATGATGTCACATTTGTCCATGGATTTAGATAAATAACCAATAGCCACTGCAACCGCTCCTTTCGCCCTTCCAAGTGTCCACCACTGTAATAAAGGTGCATGTAATAAAGTAGGTTGACGCTTCAACATTTAATAAGGGAGGGGCAACAATCTCAATATGTCTTTCCTAGATGGTAACTTATAAAGAAAATACTCTAGTTGGTGAACGCGATAATTAAAATGAATTTTACCTAACCTGAAAAGCAGGACACTTTTTATTTCAGGCCGTACAAAATGAAAAATTAAACTTGACACAAATTGAAACAAAGGTTGAATACAGTGCTTCTTATATCACACATTACCTTTAGTACTGACTGTAACTACAAAAATATCAGCCTAGACTCTGGTCTTGATAATCCCAGCTTTTTGGTCGTGCAAAATGCAATTGCCTTATATTAATTAACTTTAGCAGTTTGTATCATGCAAATAAAGACAAAAATAAAGACAAAATATTTCTGGTTTTAAATTAATTACCACATCAGTGATCAATGGGCAAAGATCTGGGTTTCCAAAACAACTGGGATAACTTTACTTTTGTAAGGCATGAAAACTCAAACTTCACCAACCGTCTTCCAAGTTTGTTGTTTGAAAGCAGTTAATCAATTAAGCAGAACGTAGAAGACTTGGACATAAATCTCACCTAGATTCATGGTTGCCCGAGCACGCTGCCTGTTGATAAGCTTTATTTCAAGAAAATCTCCAGAGATAGGTCCCCTAGCAAAGACGAGCGTCCCGGCTGCCGTGGTTGTCAGAAACTCCAGCGCAACATCTCCAGCATCGATGTGATTGTTCCATTCATTTTCGTCTGTCAGTTCTATCTGCATGTAGGACCATTGCTCTCTAAAAGTAGCTGCCAGGTTGGAAGTATCTGTAAAAAAACAAAAGAATAAATGCAAGTTACACGAGAAGACTCAAGTGCCTGTTCAAAGAAGAATCACACGCTGAAAAACTACAACATAAAATTGAGGTAAAAAGGAAACTTTGCCTACCTACTCCCCAACACTCAAGTGCACCAATGGAACTTATACCATTTTTACCAGTGTCCGACATTACGTCAAAGTAGTCAATACGGCGTACTGGAAGATGCTCTTTAGTCGTTAAGTAACCTTTATCCTCTATGTCTCTGACGAACTTAAAGGCGTCACAGTTGCAATGCATTTCTTTGTCTATACAAGTCCTTGTCAAACCACAAGCGCAGTAACCTCGCCGGCCTCCTGAACCTCCCCAATAATAATGCAGTTTATCGTCAAAGCCCATCCATTGTACCTGAAAGTGAGCGTGTATGTCGAATTAACAGTGGGATATCGAGAATGGAACATAATCTTCAAATGTTAAACTTCATATGAGTTTTACCATGTCCTTTTAATTACAATTACCCCCAATGGCTGACAATTTAATAGATAAACAAAAAGGGATTTCAGAGGCAAAAGGCATTCGGCCTAGGCAAGAACAAAGAATAACTACAATCTTAATAAACTTTGCCTTCATTTAACACTAAACATGCCTTCTATAATTATCATTGCTTTTAAATGTGTACAGTTTGGCCATGTTTCAACATGCTCTTATATCTAAAATGATGAGGTCTGAATTGGAGCTCTTATGATAGATACATATGTGCATACTTTGCTAGATATAACAGGATAGTTTCAAGCTGCACCTCTTAGTTTCATGCTTAAGGGGATATTCATATTCAGGCTGGATTGTAGAGTAAGAAATGATGAGTTCTATCAGAGCACTAGATGGCAAAAGAAAGGATCTCCCACACCAATGTTCAGAGGCATACAAAGCTAAAAATATTTATTTGTTTGCTTACACACCTGCTTTGGTCCTGTTGGTGATTTGAACAGAGCACTCCTTGCACAACGGTATCTGATGAATTGCCTACAGGACTTGAAATGCAGTAGAAGCTCCCTTAAACTTTCTTCATCAGCAAGATACGTCACAGGAATAATCTTTTTGCCCGTCGGATTTATTACATTAATATCAAAGGGTATAGTTGTGTTAATTTGTGTTATAGTATCTTGAGGTGTTCTCCCTTTTCTACAAAATGCTCTAACTGGATCCAATCCTCCAATGCCATCCATATCTAGCCAGTATTTGTCACTAATGAATCTGTCCCCTGCCTTCTCGTGGATTTCAGTGCATGTATAATTGAAACGTGCTGTTAGAAGAAAATTTCAGTTTACTGGTGTTTTTTTTCAAATTTTACAGCACTGAAATTTTACATTTTACAAATTTATTGAAAGGCAATTTGCACTGTCACTCTAAAAGTACCTTACAATAAACAACTTCCTGTCTTTGAGTTGCACAGCACAGTCATTCTACATAATTCAAAAGCCAATATATAAAGGGCTTTTATGCAAAATTAGAGAATTCTATGAAATTAAGAGCAAGAAAAAGCAGAAATGAATACAAAACTAGAAACAGAAATAAAGCACTAGATTAACTACCTTAGCCAGTGAAAATATTTGCTATTTCATTCCCTCATCCATTCTTGTTTACAACCACTCTTTTTTATGTTTGTTCATGATCATATCTTAATAAACATGACTTGGCTATGCATCAACTTATGTAAATTCAGAATGCAATTGAAAACTAAAACTGGAAACTGATAATTACTCACATTGAGTACAACATGATCCTGTATAGGGAGTATGTCTACAATCACATCTGAAAATGGTATCAGTTTGATTGCATTTACCACCATTGATGCATGGATTTGGTGTGCAGAAATCTTTAAGGTTGCACTTGCCCATGATTACTGAAACTTTCTGCATCTGAGTATAATCAACAGCTCTACCATTTAGCAACAGATTCTTCATGCATCCAGTAAAACCAAAACCAAAGTGAAGAGGTCCACCATCAAATATAAAAGGATTTAAAAATTTTGATCTCCGTTTCACACCATCAACAATAAACTCTGCATCATAATTTGGTTCTCTGTTTGATAAAAATAACTCAACTGTATGCCATGTGCCATCATGTAAATTGGGTTTTCCAGTTTTCATTACAAGATGACTGCCAGTTTTCTCGACAGTTGCCCCAAGAACGAGCCTGCCCTGTCTGTCTAATGTCAGATCAAGAACTTTGGTTAGTTTGTTTGTGTAGTTGGCTACAACTTGGTCTGGAATTACTGTTCTAAAATCAAACTTCAGTCTCAATGACTTTATGTCATAATTCTTATATGACAAATGGGAGACTTTGTTTGGGAAGAAGATTGGATAGTAATTGATAGAATCGCAGAAAGATTGAACATTTTTTCTGGTGCCTTGGTTGAGAAGATCAATGCCATTCATGTATGCAGATCGGACACACATAGAATCTCCTTCCTGGGCAACAGATCTTTCTTCAGAAACCCCAACATATGAGTACAGTCCTCCTATAAACACCTCTTCTACACTGAACTGAGTTGGCGCTGGTGGTGCTCTCCAGAATCCGAAGTATCTTGGTTCCCTCCTACCATCAATGATAATTGTGATGTCTTGTGTGTTTTGAGTTACCTTGACGGTATGCCATTGGTTGTCTGCCAAATCTTGCCCCACATACATATTATGATAACCTGTTACTTGTTTGTCTATATTAATATGGCCATTTCCAAATTCTCCAGCATATCTAACAAACAATAGAAAATTACAATAATTTTTTGATTATTATTATTATCATTATTCTCATATTTAAGCAAAATTTTACCAGTCAGTAAATATGCTTGAATTCTTCTTGTCCAAAATAATGCACCATCAACCTCATCAAAATTTTAGCATACAGGGCACTTAAAATCTGTTCTAAAATTAAACTCCACACAGAGCTGGACAAACTTAAAACAAACTTTCTAGAAAACAGCTATCTGGAAGATGCCATTTCCTCTTACACAAGGGAACGATTGTGAGTCTTTTGGCTTGTTTAGAACTTGACCTCTAATTTACTGAGTTTGGAGAGCATTTTTGTGCACCCTAAAAGAGCAAGTATCATATTCTGTGCTACAACAATTTTATTGTTAGCATAATTAGAATGGCATGTACATTTTGCTTACCTTATTTTTCCTCTCACCAACTCAAGGGTTAAAAAATCTCCTTTCTCGACACTTTGAGCATGCAGAAGCATACCAGTTGCATCTATTGTTTTGAAAGTTATCTCAAAAACATTGTACTGGCTTGTTTTTTGGGGCTGCTTGTAATAAATATAACCAGGTTGGTTTACATACAAATCTAAAAGCAAAATTTATTAATTAGCAAGACCCAAGGCACAACTATCAACAAAGTCAACCAATGTCAAGCTGTCAAACAGAGGCATTAACATCAATAGGTTTGAAAATTTATTTTAAAATATGAATTGAAAAGGTACACAAGAAAATGTTCAAATGGAGAAAAACTTGTTCTTTGTATCTGGCACAAAAAATCACAAATTCATACAAAGGTAGATAAATGAAATATCATTTGGGTACTCAGTAATAGAAAATCAGGGGACAACTACATTTCCCATCAACTTTGTCTGATTTCCACAAATGACTTTTCCAAATTATTGTTTTAACACTGCAGATAATGGTAAGCTGTTTGTGACAAGCTTTTTTTGCTTTGAGAGACCTTTAGACCATTCCAGAACAGAATTCAAATGTGATTTTTTAGGGCTTTTCCTGTCGCATTCTGTTGGTCAGGTCATGACTCTCATGTCATAGCGTTAATGTGTTATAAAAACTCATAAACGTTTCACTGTAAATTGTTGTGAATTTCCGAAGCAAAGAAAATGTTGTCACTGAAAAATGATTGTGGATCTACGTTAAATTGCTTCGCCTATAGGCCCAGAAACTTGCTTGTTTATAATGGTGACATACTTTTCCAACTCAGGAGCTTAGTAGTTCGCAGAATCCGTCAAACTACCCTAAATAATAGGGTGAATCTTAGAAAATGACAGTACTGATCAGAATCATTTGCAGGATGTACACGCTTTGTAAAGCGACAAGCCTAACTAAAAAGCGACTTGCAAATCATTATAATTGGAGATGCTTGACAGCCTTTAAACTGATGCGATCATTTCCGTGAACACATACTATTAGTCAGGTTTCTAGCTTTTTTAAACATCAGTAGCCCTTGTTATTTTAATTGATTTCTCGATCATCGATATTTTCACCTTTAGAGAAGAAACGACTCTAAATATTTGAGCCGGCGCACTTGCCGCATTAACAAGATGTCTAGGACTGGACTAGTAGCGGGAAATCATTTAATATGTAATAACAAAATCATTAACTTTCCTCTCACTCTGGTGACCATCAGATTATAAACATAGCTCACAGAAAAGAGGGTATGTCATTTATATAACTTACCGGAAGATACTGTGACAAATAAGCAGACAAGGGCTATGAAAGCCACCAGAGCGACTCCTCTTTCCGTCGCCATTTTCTGCAAATTGCTATCTTTGTTTTTTCGAAAGCGCCCTCCAGATTTCCCATCATTCCATGCAAATATTCGCATCACGTGACCATTAGTAATATGATAGTCTTTGTCTGAAACTGAATGAGTCATGGTTTGTTTGGGCTTTGTTTTTGTGTAGTGAAATGTGAAATCCAGTGACATTTCTTTAACGTACAGTACAAGTGAAATATTTCCTCTTGGATGTTGGTTGTGAGGCCAAGGACCAGCTTTAATAAAACAATTCCAATATCAGGCACATGGCATCCTTACATTCTACAAATCTACATTAACTACCTATGTGAAAACTTTAAAAATTCTCAATATACGCATCTTTTTGTAACAACTATACTTTTATATCAGGGCCTCCGACGAAGGGGGGAGCCGGGGGGCCTTGGCCCCCCCCACTTTTTTGCAAAATAATAGAGTTTTTTTCAAAATCTTTTGTTATGGGTGTTAAATTTTCCCTTGCCCCCCCCCCCCACTTTTCAACCTTTGTCGGAGCCCATGTATATTGCAACACTACACTTGTTCCGACTTCAAATTGACATACTTTGTTAGTTTATCTCTGAATGTGGGTGAACTATTTACTTTACCTTGGAAGCACGTTTAACAAATTCATTACTTAAGCAATTTAAGAAACATATTAGAAACTTTTGATAGCAAAATGGCCAGAAAATTTAAGAAACTGCCTACCAGCACCGGACCTTAGCTTTTTAGAAGAAATTCGTGTACTGAAAACCTTTCAAAATAATCGAGTGCTCAGGGCCTCTTTTTTAAAAATTTCAATTCATTCGCTCTAATGCTGTTTAGTGCATAATGACAACCTATAAGCATAAACCGTAATAAAGAAAGGAAATATCTAGCTACATGTCGTGCAGGCTAAAAACAATGAAAACTAAAGGGTTATTAAACCTTTAAGAACTTTGAAGCAATGCATTTTTTCAAAGTTGTGAATTACGAAACTTTGCAATTTATTCATCATATATTTTGCGCCATTAATCATTTTTAATCCTGCTTGGAAAGAGTTTCATAACTTGATACTGTCATTTGTTAGATATTTTCAAGGTTGTGTATATCGTTGGAAGAGAGAAAACATCGTATGAAAATTTTTTGCATAATAGGTTTAGGTGTGTTAAGATTTTGTTTTGCTAAAAAGGTGTGTTAAGCTAAAAGGCAGATTGATTGGTGTGGTGTTTAGCTTCAAACATCAAATCAGCCATTTTATGCATTTTATGCATATATGCATAAAGTTTGTCAAAGTATAACGTTTACTAGCTGCGTTTACGTTTACTTTAAGCCTAAATAGATTCACTGTGAGCAGTATAGGTAGACGGTGACATTATTGACCAGTCTTTTACAATATTAGGAGGGAAAGCCACCCTCTGTACACCCCTGGTGCCTTTAGTCACCTGTTGTAGTCCTTTGTGGGCCTGTTGTAGTTCCCTCCTTCTCTTGTCAAAGTATGGTTCATAAATCTGGTTTCCCTCTTTCTCTTGTAACAGTATGGTCCACAAACTGGTACAAATGTCAAAAATTCTCTGGCAGGGTAGGGATAGATCATTTTCTCTAACATTTGTCTAGGGAAAGAAGCCAAGTGCATTATAACACTTAAAATGGTGCGAAAAATGTGTGATCTCAAAAGCTGTTACATAAACTATGACCAGATTCTTACAACTGCACAGTAACTGGCACTTCCACTACAAAGAGCCCTAGGGACCTTAGGCATATGGGCCACCTTTTCTTGTTCCCTTACTGTGGGCAGGACAGTAGGCTATTTGGTTATAATGGTTATCAATTTCTAGCTGTTATGAAATTGAGTCATTTACTAGAATCCGGAAAACATTGTGGTTCCATAACTGTGACCTGGTGCAGTAGTTTTATGGAAGGCCGATGCAAAACTTTTCAACTGTATATATGAAGCGAGACGAATTAACACAATTGTTCTTAGGCTTTTCGTCTTCCCTGACAATACATAGATAAGACCAAACCATAAATAATATGACTTAATTCCCATCTTTAAGAAGCTTTTATCAAAAGAATACAAGGAAATTTTTGAGGTAGTAAAGATGACAAAGTTTTATCCAGAGGAAGCCCCCCCCTCCCCCAAATTTTTGTTAAACGATAGACTTTTTTAAATCTTTCGTTATGGGTCATTAAGTTGTCCATGGCCCCCTTTACTTTAAATTTGGTTCGGACTTCGGAGCCCCTGTAGTTGATACCTTTAGCTTTAATGTTCGAGTCAGTGGTTCCTTTAACTTTACTAGAGCATGTACACTCATTTTCTTTAAAGAAACTGGCTATAAGAAACGAGTACTGGACAGTCAGAAAAAATTAAGAAACTTCAGAACTCGAAGCAAAAAAATTAAATTAAGAAACTATTAAATCGTGATAAAACTGAGAACAACGGAATTCTGTAAAATCGAAGAACATGATTGCCCTGATGGCCTAGAAAGACACAAAGGATAAAAATATACTTCCCACGTCTAAATACAGCGTCAGAACGGAAGCGAATCTCTTGACGTGAATAAAAAGGGTCATGAACATTTCATAACATCATTCATGACATCATAATTAAGAAACAATGAGTAGTGAAATTTACTGAAATGTCAAGCATTTGAAATAAGCATTTGAAAACAATAGAAACATTGAAAATTTGCAGAAACGAAAACTCTTCAAACAAGTTTCTGTTGGGAAATCTCTTAGCGTTAAAGAATCGAAAATAGAAAGCAAATGTTAAATTTAACGACGTCATATTTAAGAAACTCTTAAAAACAGCGAATATTGAAATTTCCAGAACATTAAGAAACTGGAGTACTCAACATCGACCTTTGTTTTACATTAGAAAATGAGTGTATTGGATATATGGATACTTAAGCTAGTTTATACTAAAGCTTTAATTTATAGTTTCCCCCAAAAAAAGATTTTCCTTGCAAATATAACATAGTTATCGTCTACAAAATTTGATATTGAAAAACCTGTAAGCTATTTATATTAACTAAGAACAATACCGGTCAAAGCACACTGCATTGGGAGACATGTCCAATGCATATTAATTTTCAGTTTCTGGTTCCCCTTCATTTTCAGTTTATGGGCTGAACTGATGCTTCTACTAGATCTTTATTACTTCTCTCAATTACTTCTTTCAATTTTTAACTCACAAGCGACCAGAATTTCTAATTAACTCGTTGCGATTAGCAATAAAAAGCATGGCAAACTGTAAAAGCTTTCAGTTAATTTTCCTCCTTGGGGTAGAAAAATGTAATAAAACGTCCTCTAAATAAGAGTTTATAACATTCTTGATCACACTTTAGTTTCATTTATTGGGTTGACATCAAAATATGCGATTTTCGTAACTTTCATAGTTATGTTTTTGATATTTTCGCTTGAAGATAGAAATAATTCGCAGAAAATTTTTCATTTCTTTACTCACCGAAACGTTTTCTTTCCACTGAAATTTTTCAAGTTTCCATCGAAATTCACACCGAAATTTCATTGTCATGTCCAAAACTTTTTCCACGGATAATTAATCTACCGAATTTTCGGTACCAAATTTTTTGCTATTCATTGTATACTCAGGGGCGTAACTTGGCCAATAGGTTTGGGGGGGTGAAAAGGGTTTCTGCCCTGCAAAACTGACTGGTGCCCTGCAGACCTCGTAGCAACGGTTTGTCTATAGGTTACTAGTGAAAGCTTTACCAGTGTACACTGGTCTTTACCAAGGACAAACTTCTAAGCAATAAAAACAAACTTGAAACTTCATTGCCTATGAAATATCTATTTCTCTACGTGAGCGTAATTTTTTTTATATTCATTTCATTTAATGTTGGTTTGCAAAATACTAGCTAATAAACAGCTAATGGGGGGGGGGATACTTGATGCAGACAGCGCAACGAAATTTAGCTCAGGGGGACTAAGAATCAAGTTTAGTGAGGTAGGAGGACCCACCATGGTTGGGTCCGACGTGAAGAAAATTTTTGAAATTATACCTTCTAAAAGGGCTAAAAAGCATCTTTCAGACAAAAAATTTAGCAAAATACTATTGTGCTAAAAGAACTGATTGTTTATTGAAAATATTATTGTTTATTGGAAAAAAAGGGAGGGGGAATATCATGCTAAAACTCTAGTGTTAAACGTTGGGGAAGGAAAGAAACGGCAACCTTTCGTTTCAGATTGCACGTAGTTGTGAATGACAGAGGAAGATGTTGTTTTGATTTGAGGAATTTTTTTTCCTGAACAGAAATGTGCAGTTTCTTGTATCGAGAAGGACATGTTTACACATAAAAAATTAAAGCATTGCAATGATACAGAAAATGATTTACTGAATTAATGCAAATGAAAGAAAAATGATAAAAATATACGTGAAAAAGTTAGCAATTAGATGAAACAAATTCGGTTCCTAACAAGAATCTTAACAATTTATTATGTTTTTTAGTTCATGCACTGTTAAAAAGTAATAGAAAAAATGATAAAAAATTCTTATCTTGATCAAAGTGAGGGCCTTCGGCCCCCTATTCCCCCCAGTGACGCCGTGCCTGTCATGAAAATAATTTACAACTTAAATTAATTTGCATGGACTCAATTTTGCCCTCATAAACATATGCATCCATCATTGCATCCATTGGCTATGACTTTCGGTAAGAAATGCTTTCGCCTTGCAAATAACGGAGCTTTTATTTAGATACCTGTTCCGTTCTCTAAAATGCAATGTCAGGAAGGGAGGTTCATAAAAAATACGATATTTCCATTTAAAAATTCCTAAACGGCCCTTTACGAACTTCAGAGGTGGCATTTCTGCGTGGCAATAAAGCTCTTCTTGGCGCCCTGCGAAATCTTCGATTGCCCTGCGAAATCGACTATTTTTTGGATTGGGGGGGTGTCACACCCCCCCACACCCCCCCGGTATTTTCGCCCCTGTGTATACTAGCTATATTTATAAATATAACTTTTAATTCAAGATTCTAACTTATTACCCCTTAACAATGTTTTCTTATCGGAGAAAAGTGCTCCGAGCCTCCTTATAAAAAGGGAGTTAAAAATGCCCACTGGTCTCATCAAACTTTTCCAAACATTATCTTCTCAATTCATGAATTTCATGTGAACTTCATATTAAGCAAATATTGTGTATGATAATGTTTCTGAATCGCTTTCCATTACTTTCTCTGCCTTGCCCTCTCCACACTCAGTAAACATCAGTGTTGGGTTACGCGCCTTTTCGGAAGTGCTGTAAACGAGGTAGTTTCAAAATGCAGCATCTTATCTTTGGCGGTGGGCTTGCTTTGTTTGAATAATGTTCTCTGCTAGTTTAGCTTGATAAATAATAAGCAAATGATAGAAAAAAGTCGATAAAAGAAACAAAAATGCCTCGAGAAATCATCACGCTACAAATTGGACAGTGTGGAAATCAAAGTAAGTCTTACGCCCTTGCATTTTAGCGGGTTCATTTCCTTGAAGTTAACTTTGCAAAATACATAAAGCAAGATGTAGGTACATTGTATTTGGAAACATTGTGGCCAATCACCCTATTTCTCATGCGTTTGGGTTGTTAATAATTCTCTCAAGTGTTTTTATAAAGCTTTTTCAATCAAATTAATTTTCTGATTTTCAGTTGGTTTTGAATTTTGGAAACAGCTCTGTGCAGAACATGGAATTAGTCCAGGTGCGTTTACTTTTTCTTGCCAGGCAACTTTTTTCTTGTTAATTTTAAACATTCTACAAAATATAAGGTCTAGTGCAACTTATATTTAAACATCGGGGATTTTGATTCGTTATAGTATATACTATCAAGGCGAGTAAACTAAAATTTAAGGTTTCCTCTTATTTATTAATTGTAAATGCAAAAATGTTGATTTCATTTAATGTTACATGCTGTTGAAGATAGTCCTGTCGGCATAATTATTAATTTCTTTTGATTTCTCTCAGCAAAAGCCGTGTAGGCGATTTATTCTTGGAAAAAGAAGCTTTTAAAACGATCAAACTTTTGTATTTTTTTCCTGCATAACACGAAGTCAGAGAAAAGGAAGTCACTTTTTTGCTGCTTTCTATTATGTCATTGGTCAAGCCAATTTTTGAACTTGATTTGTTTTATTATGACCATAGTTTTAATGGAGGTTCAGAATGGATGTTACATATGAAAAAAAATTCCCTGGTAGTGGTATGCTTGTTTAAGACACTGGACTCAATATCTGCTTTAAAACATTATGTTAATGTTTTGTTTATTGTGCCAAAACCTTCAATGAAAACAACAAATTTTTATTTGCCTTTTATGCCTGTATCTATTATTTCTCCCTTTAAATGTATATATTGTTTTTTCAGAGGGAATGCTACAAGACTTTGCAACAGATGGAACAGATAGAAAAGATGTTTTTTTCTACCAGGTACATGCACATTTAGCATGACAATATGCCATCCTTTAGAAATTGAGCTGTAAAATTACTAGGAAATTAAGGAAACATTATACTGATCCCCCACTGTCTTTTAAAGGTGGGATGGAAATGATTATTTTTACTTAAAAAGGCACCAAGTTCCTGTTCAGTTGACATTTATTAACGAAAAACCTCTTGCAACAGTTCTATATCCTGCTAATCATATGCTACCTTTTTGTGTTTCTAAAAAAGAACTCTTCAGTATTTTGTATTTGAAAAACTTAAATCATTAAAATGTTAGAAACTGAGTTCTAATTCAGAGCTTTGTTTCTTTTTAAAATGCTTATATTTACTATGCAAACTCAAATGACATATTCAGATTCAAAGCATTGCATGTTTTACTCTGCCAATATGTCACATTAAATATGTTTGTGACCCTTTTTAACATGCATAATTTTATTAGCCCAATTCCTATGTAATTACTTTTAAAGAACCAAAAAAGTATAAACTTTATAAGTATAATAGCAGCCTTATCAATGACCAACCTCTTTTGCAATAAAATGATTACTTAGCTACAATGCATTACCTTAGTGTACTACCTCATTCACAAAAGAAAATCAGATATTTGCATAGCATTGTTTGATGATGTACAACATCGTTTTCTAGCTATTGAACATTATCCAACATGTATGTGATGATATTTGACCATGTTTTGTACAGCAGTGTTTGATTATGTAGACTGTCCCTAAAGCCAAGCTCTGCAGCCACAGAGAGTTTGTTCCTCAAGCTTTTAAGCAAATGGGCTCTGCCTCAAAGGCCCCAAAAATCTGGCCTATTTGAAGCACTACATGGAGCTAATCGTCTTCATAGCTTTGATTTCAATATTTCATATCTAGGCAGATGATGAACACTACATCCCAAGGGCAGTCCTTCTTGACTTGGAGCCAAGGGTATGACTCTTATTATTACATGTTCAAGTTTTAACAAATTTATTCTCTTAGTCTCTTGTGTAACTATCCTTTGTGACCACCCCTTGAACAAGTGCACTTTTCTCAACATTTATTGTTTTATAGGTCATTGACAACATAATGACATCAGAATATGCAAATCTATATAATCCAGAGAACATTTACATGTCAAAGCATGGAGGTGGGGCTGGAAACAATTGGGCTGCTGGATTTGGTCAGGTAAATGTACTTCCTATTTTGATGAAATAAGATTTATTGAGTATCACAATTTAAGTGGCAATGCAGAAGTTATCACATTCCTCTTTTGAAAACTTCTAAACTAGGAAAACAACACTTTTGCTGAATGCAAATTTCTCATCGTCATAACATTTGTGTAACCATCTTATTTATTTTGCCATTTATTGCTTTGTTCCACACATTCTTTTCCCCTAGTGGCCTTTTCAGCTCATTTCAAGTAAGAGTGGCTGCCTTTTGTCATAACATGGTACCATAAAGACAGGACGATGCTAGCTACAGTTGTTGAGCAGCTAACTAGATTTATAGTGGGTGAAACTGTATTTCTAATGTTTAAGCATCAAATTTTTAGTGGAGCAGGAGATGAGAATCCCAGATTGTGATTGTTCAACTTGCTTTGTAGGCAGAGAAATTACACGAAGAGTTGTTTGACATAATTGACAGAGAGGCTGATGGTAGTGACAGCTTAGAGGTGTGTAGCTTTAGCCAATGTTAACAACAACTTCTTGTAGTACCCAGAAGTAAAAGTTGTCATCATAATCAAGCTGTCACAATGTTTTTAAGTTATAAGGGAACAGCTTTTCATCAAAACAGAAGGGTATTTATTCATGGATACATCAAGTTATAAGCTAACTGTGGTATTCAAGCTCTATACTAATTTCATGTAATTATGATAACACCAGTAAACATCTTGGTCAAGAGTCTCATGAGACTTGTGCTTGGATCTCCTGCCTCTATGCGAAATCTGTACATAGTTAGATACATTAGCAAGTAGAAGATGTTCAAGTTGACCAACAAAGGTTGTCTGAGGCAACAGCCCAGCCAATTTTTACAAGAATTGATGGTGATATGATCGCAGCTTTTAAATATACTCCTCATTTTGCTGACTACTCTTTTCAGGGTTTTGTCATTGCACATTCGATCGCCGGTGGAACCGGTTCTGGCATGGGCTCATATATGCTCGAGAAAATCAATGACAGGTAATGATTCAGTATTATTTTATGTTACTTTATATTGGTGCTCAATTGTTCTGTTTTAACCAATATATGCGATTTGATGTGTTCACGCCCCTCACTATTAAGTTGACCTTAGTGATAAAGTATGCAACTTTATTCATAGTATGCAAGAATAAAGAACCTCAGAATGCTTGTGTAGATAATTATTTAACATAATGGTTTTTCGATATTGTCACATCAAAGTTTGCTTGGGGGTTTATGACTGTTAGAAAGTGAGATTTTAAGTGGCTTATTTATCAGCAATATGAGTTTGGTAGAATTTCTACTATCAATTAGCTATCTATTCACATACGCACCAGATCTTTTTATTTTAGTTGCAATATTGTAATTTGTATGGTTTCATTCTAATATCTGTTATTTTTCATTTCTAGGTATCCAAAGAAATTGATCCAGACTTATTCTGTGTTTCCACAACAGGTAGGGTAAAATTTTTGTTAACGAAAATATCCAGTCATGTGCTTGATGTTTTGCTTAATCTCATGATATGCAAATCCTCTGCAGCATCATATTTAGACCCTGCCAGTGCCTTCAAAACTGAAGTGCCTGCATGCTAAAAAGATTCAGTCATTGACCATTTATATCTTATTTTGGATTGTGTTTAGTTTGTATCTAGCTTACTGAGCTATCTTGTTATTTTGGCAAAATATTTGGTGGATCAGTCTTCAGAGTTCTTTGGTGTTCAAGTTAACAAATTTTTGAGCTTTGCAGAATTCCAACGTATTGGGAAAAGTTCAAAAGGAAAGCAAAACCGTTCAAGTTCCGGGGCACGAGTTATCTGTGTTTCAGGTTCTCTGGGGCTCCAGTTATCAAGGGTGCGAGTTATGGGGTGCTCAAATTATCGGGGCTCTAGTCAGGGGCGGACTGACCAGTCAGTTATACAGAACGGAGACTGAGAGCCCTGGTGCTACAATGGCTTTGTTTGTTTCCAGTCCTTTGTTCGGCAAAGGACCCACCACTCTGTTCCTTACCGTGGTGATGACACCGCTCTTTTTGAATTATCTGAACTTCTTCCTCCAAATTTTGCCGTCTCTTCAATTTCTTCAATCAAAATCGAATCTTCCATTTTAAGCTTTTTTTTTCTGGCCAATCAGGAAGACATCAGTGATGTCGTTGTGCAACCATACAATTCGATTCTAACATTGAAAAGACTCACACAGAATGTGGATTGCACGGTATGTTTTAGTCATCTCTACCAGAACATTATTTGTTTAATTTATAGAGTTCCTGCAGCTAATATGCTTTTGAAAGGTACAAGTTGTGGTGACATCTCCACACTGTTGTGCCTTTATAAAGAGGATGCAAAGGTACTCTGATATATGATATAAAGAGTCCGGGTTTTATGCGATTGTGACAATACTACACACGCTAAGGGTATTTCCCATTTTTGCATATGGTTTTAATTCTGTAATCTGATTATTAAGTTTTATCTTCAAAATGTCTTAAAGATGCTTAAAGCATTAAGAATTTCGTTTCTTTCAGTTCCCATCATCCTGTAAATTAAAAAAATTTCTCAAGCAGCCAATTGGAAATGGTTTCTGTTGATTATAATAATTATGATTGATTACATGTTAATGGTTTTCTATCACTTTTTTGCCCAAAGCATGCTCAAAGAACTTAAGCTTGTTAAAAGTTCTTAAAATAATGTTATTATATGTTGAAAGTGTGGTTGTATCTAGTTTTTCAGACTGTTTATTGCATTCATCAAGTTTGAAAACAATTGCGTTTACTTGGACTTATCATTCAGATTTTAAAACATACCCGAACATTTCAAATCTGTTTATAGCAGTTTTCTTTGTAGGTTGTTCTTGACAATACAGCTTTAAATCGAATTGCAGCAGACAGGTTGCATATACCCAACCCAACTTTCTCACAAGTCAACCAGTTGGTAAGCAAATTATAGATGAAAGAATCAATAAGGAATTCAATTTCAAAATTGATAAACCTGAATGAATTTTCGCTTGTTCACTCCCCTGATTATTATCAGCTTTGCTCTCTCGATATCTTTTTTCCTACTCATTTTTCTTGCTACATCTCAAAGAGTGATTTCTTACAACAGTTATCGATGAATCCCCCCTCCCTTCCCCCGTTAGTCTAGGCCACAATCTTTTAACAATTTAGTTGTGAATTTAACCAATTTAACAAGTTATGTTCCAGATCACGCAGAACAGTGATATCATAACTAATTTTCCAGAATACAAAACTTCAAAGTGATGGTCGAATTGAAACGCCTAAGTATTTATAGCTGGGTGTGGATCAAATTAACATTTAGAATAGAGCAATCAGCGGGATTTTGTAAGGATAACGCTGATTTGAGCAAATCATTTAGTTTCTTTTGTGTCTTATCGTGTATATTATTTTCAATTTTAGGTCTCGACCATCATGGCGACAAGTACAACCACCCTGAGATACCCAGGGTATATGAACAATGATTTGATTGGCCTAATAGCATCCCTCATACCGACTCCTAAACTCCATTTTCTTATGACTGGCTATACGCCATTAACAACTGATCAAAAAGTAGGTTGTTTTACTGTGTTTTAAGATTTAACCTTCATTTCCATTTTTTAAGGAAGGTTACCCTTCAGCAAAGGCTGTTTTTCATTGGGTCTTTCGATTGAAAACACAATCATCATATGTATATTTTAATTGATTAAAACTATTTAGAATTGCTAGAATGAATACATTCAGATCTAAAAAACAACAATTTCTTCATTAAAAAAGGATAAAAAGGTTCCACCCTTTATAGGTTTGTTGAAGCCATTTAGAGAGAATGTTTTCCTAATCTCTGTTTTGCTCCTCTGATAGAAAGCATTCCTTTGGCAGCCTTCAATTAGTTCAGTATATCATAGGCATGGGAGAGACTTTCAAGGATTAAGGCAAAAAGTTAATTCACTGAGCAACTTCATTTTTGTCTCATTTTAAATGAGTTCCTCAATTGTCTTCAAACCAAATTCTTTGATAAGTTGTCTGTATTAGACGTCCAGGGTGCTATTTATTGTGATTATAGCAGCAAGATTTTAAAGTTTTTGCAGGTACTTATCTTCTGTAGTACCAGCTCAAACCCAATTTGGAAAAAGCATCAAAGGAAAATTTATTGCGCTTATGAGCCATTTTACTGATGAGAATATTTGTTGCTTGTGGCTTTTGCTGTGTTTTATAAGTTCTCTCTGTCAGTGGTGCTTTTATATAATCTGTAAGATCAGGGGCGGACACTTGGTCAAATATTGGGGGGGGCAAGCCTATTGTTTTAATAAGATGACGTCACATTTCCCATTGTTTTATAACAAAAGACCATTGTTCTCTAAAGTATTGGGGGGCTATCGCCCCCCTCGCCCCCCCCCCAAGTGTCCGCCACTGTGTAAGATGTTGACCCTGAAAATGACAGGTTTAACTTCAACTCAATTGGTGAAGTGTCTGTCCAGTATGCACACGAATAGCATAGTTTGATAACAGAAGGGTCTTAAACAGATTGGTAGCAAATTACATAAAGATATTATGACATTGTGTTCATTTCATCCAGTGTATCATTTTTATCTCTTGGTTTTGACAGTCAACAAGCGTAAGAAAGACAACTGTCCTAGATGTTATGCGGAGACTGCTTCAGGTTCGTATCGTATGCATATTTTCTCTTCAAGGCTGCGATTATGACAGTGATGAGAAATTTCAAAATAATTGTTTAATGTATTTCTTGCCCATCTTATAGTTTGTGGTGCAGTTGTTCCGCGAAGTTTAACATCAAATTCAAGGATCAAGCTTTTTAAATCATGCCTTGTTCAACTGCCAAAAAACCCTCTTTCCAATAGACAGCGCTAATGTTGCCACTAGGAAATACCAAATAAGTATTTTTTATCAATTTGTGGCAGTTTCAAGTTTATAGGATAACAGAAAATCGAAGTACTACAAAAATATCTCCCCATTCCCAAAAATTTTTCACGGATATCAACAAATTAAAAAATTGATCTTGCCAAGAACGTTCCCAAATGTTACTACCAAAGATACAAATGCTCGTTAAACGATCCATAAAAATTATAAGCCTTTTCAAAATGCAATGTTTGAAAATACTGAAAAATTTGTAATTTAAAATGTGTCATTGCCTATAAAGGTCGTAAAATTTTGTAACTGAGGAACATGCATTACAACTAGTTTTTTAAAAGTTTCAATTTGGTTTATCTATTAATTTATAGCCAAAAAATATGATGGTTGCCACACCAAGAGATAGGAAAAAAAATCATTGTTACATATCAATTCTCAACATCATCCAGGGTGAAGTGGATCCCACACAGGTAAGACTGTTTTGAATTTTGATATTTATTCAAGCCCTTTATAAATGTTTTTGCTAGAAGAACTATTTAAGTTATTTATTTGGCACTAGGATGGCTCAGTGATTAGCATGGCGGACTACAGATCCGAGGGTCGGTGACCATCGACATGACCAGCCTTTTACTTCGATTAATGGGAGCTGCTAGCTATCTGTAATTCCAGAAAGGACTAGGCCACTGCTCGATTAGCATGGCCTATTATTATCCTAAACCTGTCTTCAAATTCTAGATAGTAGCAAATACGAATAAAAGCACAAAGTTTAAAATGTGGAGAAAAATGAGAGGGATACACATTGCCAATGCATTTTGTACAACACGGACTTCTTGTGTTTCTAATTTTCCTTCCCTTGTGCTTTTCTGAAACCAAGCACAAAATTTAAGTGTTCTGATATAACTAAACCAAATCAAACATTTTAGATTACATTTTTCCTTTCTTTACTGTAGCACTATCTCCAAGTTTTATATCTCCATATTTTTACCTTTGTACGAGATTTCAAGCACATGTTTGCCTTTGTTAAAGATTTTGTGTACTGAGCTTGCATGAATTTAAAATGATTTTTTACAATTAAAGATTTGTTCTCTTGAAATCCAAGGTTCACAAAAGTCTTCAGCGAATTAGAGAAAGGAAGCTGGCAGAGTTCATACCTTGGGGACCTGCAAGCATCCAGGTAACTAAATTTGAAAATCTTCCCTTTTTTGTATATAATATATCAATATTTTTTCCGTTATGGGGCAGTTTGATCATTGAATTATTAAAATGCTTCTGTAGAATTGGAATGCGAATTCTTCTGAATATATTTTTCTTTTGGCTTTGATATTGAACTTAATTTTTGAAGGACGTGTGAAAGCCTACAATTATTTGTATTGCAGGTTGCGTTGTCAAGAAAATCACCATACGTTCAAACCACACATCGCGTTAGTGGCTTGATGTTGGCAAATCACACAAGTATATCAATGGTGAGTACTTTTTCACTTAGTTTTATTGACAAAATAATGATTTCCAAACATATTTCTACTTCAAATCCCCTGCAAGAAGAAAGGGGTTACATCTTACATGTATTTCATTGATTGAGTGATTTAGGGGGTGTGTTCATGAAATCAAGGGTAAATGAACTTACCCCCAAGGGAAATTACTCTTCTCTTTTCCGCTGCATGAAATGGTTTCCAACTCAGCGGCCTCTTCCTCGTTACTGGGCACATGTTAATAGCTATATTTGTTCACAAAATGTACCATGACCCTTTTCTATATTTACCATTCGCCATTTTGTCCCAAAATTTTCCTGTTTCGATGTACCTTAAAGAAACAGTATGAAGTAGATTCTGGCAACGATTTTACCATTTGCCAAGACAGTTGAATGGTCTGGGACTCCTTCGATGGCTGCTGTATTTAGCTTGCCCACCCTACTGGTTGGTTGCCCCACCATCCGTAGCATAGGCTTTATTCACCACCTGTACTTCCAAGAACTTAATAAAGAAAGCAATACAACCCTGTCCGATTTTCTAGTGATATCAGATTCGTGATTCTTGCAACCCAGTGTTAATTTGAACTTTTGAACTTTCAAATTGTTGTACCAATATGAATAAATAAATTTGAAAATTGATATTTGAATTGTTTTGGTAGTTTGATAACGCATAGTATAGCAAGAGCTCACAGAACTCTTTGGGTCTATTGAAGTCTATATTTGTATTCAGGTATTTGAAAGATGTTGTCGATTGTATGACAAGCTACGGAAAAGAGAGGCGTTCTTAGATCAGTACAAAAAAGAAGATATTTTTAAAGACAGTCTAGATGAGCTCGACGATTCAAGGCAGGTTTTAGATCTTTTGCTTATTAAGCTGTTGAAATGGTTTGAAATTTCAGTGAACAAGATTTTTACAAAGTTTCTAACTTTTTACTTGTTTTTTTTTGTATTCAACAAGTCATCCTTCATCAAGCGTTCTGCGCATGTTATTTAGTTTCGAAATATCTCTTATTAAAAGCTCTTAAGGTTACGGTAAACGTTTCTGTCACGATAATTGGTTTTCTCTCCCTAAAAGCAAAACTATTGACAGAATTAGATTAAACTATACATCATTTGATGCACAAGAACGTGGTGATTCCAACCATGTTGTAAAATGATACTTTCCAGGCAAATTTGTTACTTAAGTGAGTGTACCACCTTCAAAAGCTATTTTGTACCCTTGCATTTGTGGCAACAAAATCTGTCTTTTATCAGCAGAAAGCGCAGATCCTTAGCTACCAAAGTCAGTCTCAGATTTTTCAAATTCCTCCTCCCCTTGTAAAAAATTGGCAAACAATTTTTCTTCCCTCTCATAGCTGTATTTAGCTATAAAAGACGGACCAGAACAAATAAAATAAATTTGAGACACACCTTGCTTACCCAACATGTCCTGGCCGTGTGCACATTTTTGAGCCATTTGATTGGTTCCTTGGGTACACAATAGCTTTTTCGTACTTGTATGTAGAACAATTGTAAGTCTGTAGAAAACGGGATTTTACTTGCAAGGTACACTCGTAAACCACAGAGTAATCCGGGTCAAGTCACTTAAAGCTTTAAGATCAATAGGACTGTTTAGGATACATGGATGTGCCATTCGATATTGTCAATGAGACATACAACCACAACCGCAAAGTAATGATAATCGGCTTAACAGGTCAAGAGATTTTCAGACCTCAACTAAAAGTTTTGATGAAGAAATTATGGAAACCTTCATTTGCATGGGATTTTTTACATTTTTAAATTTCTGTTAGTTTCAAAGTTGGTATCATTGTGTGCCTTGAAAGTTCGGCTACTTGAATGCGGAAAAATCGAAAAATGGGATGGTCTGAGTCCTACCTGATGATTATTCCTTCAATGTTCAAAGAAAGTATTTGAAATCAAGATAGATATGAATACTATATAATATATATTCATTTGGAGGGATTTCCTTTTGATGTTAAGGAAGGTTAATATTTTTTATGTTGTATTTGGCAGGTGAGACATTTTTTGCCAGAGCCATTAGCCCTCTCAATTTATTAATAGGAATGGGGAGTATGTGGTAAATTAATCTAAATGAATTTTCGTCTCCACAGGATTGTAGTTGAGCAGTTAATTGAAGAGTATCATGCTGCAACAAGATCCGATTACATCACATGGGGTACTCCAAGCCAAGTAAGCTTTTAAATAATTCTATCATTTAGCAGGCACCCAACAACCTTATAGTTTACTATTTTTTTGTTATTTCCTGTTATTTATTACCTTCCAGTCATTTAAAGTTTTTTTAAATTAAATGTTTGTGGTGTTTTGATAAATGGGAGGCTTTTGGAGGAAAATCTAAATAAAACTGTTACTAGGCCCTCTACTCAAGAATGATCAGTGTAGCGAATCTTTGAACTTTCAAAAATCTGATAATGGTTTATTGTTATCCTTTTTCATTTACTGCTAACATCATCTAAATAAATAGGCCTTCTGTACTGAACAGTTTTGAAAAACAAAAGGGTAAAAAGTATTTTCTTGTCTGAAACTCCTTGAATTGTAAAACATTTGATATGTCCAAATAGCTGTATACAGAAGATAAAGAATTGGTTCTGCTTAGCAATTACAATATAAAATGAATGATTTAACCCCCTATCACTGCTCTTTTCATTTATATCGCAGGTACCTCAAGATTCTGCAGCTGTTTCAAGAAAGGAGTGATGCATTTATAAGAGAAAATTGAAGATGAATCTTACCTGCCAAGAATCAGGTTTCAAGTCAAGCTAATAGTTTGGAAAGTATTTTTGTAATATTTCCTAATTTGTTTGAAAAGACTATTATTTATTTGACAGACCTAGACAAGTTGGAACAGTCCAGTGAAATCCACAAATAAGTTGAAACTGCATATCCCCAAAATTATAATTGAAACAACACATTGCAAATTATGTTTTGCTTATTAACTAGACACTGTTTCAGATCCCACTGTTTAAGTTATACAGAAATTGTGTGATGGTATGTTTTATGAATTTTGATGTTCAAGAAACAAACAAATGATTTGTAAAATTTTGTGGACAAACTTCAGACTCTTGTTGCTCCAGTGTAAACCATTCAGGTATCTGTCAACACCGAGAAAATAATTGAAATATGTAAACTGTCAAAAACAATTGTTTGCTAAGGTGTTTTTGAGTGGTCACACAACACTAAAGTAAAGCCTGTTGTGAATTACTTGCTGAAGGATTCTAATAGATTTCACTTGGTGGTACAGGTATAAAAATTGATTTTATATTTTGTAATGGCCTCCTACCCTTCCTCCTCTCTAGCTTAAGGTCAGTTTTCTAAATAATGCAAACCAGTCTGTTATTGAATAAGGAAGCCTTACACAAAGTCCATATTCTTTGAAAATTACTCAGTAATTTCTCATCACCACTTTCTTTTATTCAATATCATGCATTTACTACAAAGTCTCCTTTGCAAAATTGCTTTTTTCATGTCTCGGAAAGGAATTTGACTCAGTCTCATCATACCCAATTCAAAATAAACCAAAGTGAATAGGTTTTATTTTCTGGCAAAACTTGTTTTTGTCAGTTCAAAGGGGTATTCGTATTAAAAGGAACTTTGTACTATCATTAGTAGTACAATTTATATTTTAGGTGTTAATTTGCATTGTATTAAGGATGAGTTTTCTTTTAGAAGAAATAAAGTTGGGAGTCACACCTTGCTCAAATTCCTTTTGCTTATCGTCTTTTAAATAATAGAAGAGCTTTATGGGTTAACAACAGTTTATTTTAATGGAGAAGTTTAGTTTTTTCCAGTGAATCGGAGAAGAGACATTTTTGTATTTCCATAAAAACAAGGAGAAGTGCTCAGCGAAAGCCAAGCTTGGAGGTTGGATCTGGTTTTGGAATATTATTATTTATCATTGCTAAAAAAGGTTTTCAGAGTGGCACCCTTCATAAAACTAAAATGAGCTGGATTAACATTGGATGTAGCCATTTTGTGTTTGGTATTTGATTAGAATTTCAAATAAAACAGTTAAAGCAGTGTGTGTCTATGAGAAATAGCAAAACTATTATTTGGAGTTGTTGCGGAATTGATTTTCGATTAAGTTTATGATTAATGATATGGTTATTTTGATGATAATAGCTGAGCGTTGATATATTTTGAAATCAATATCAAAATAGCATCAATTTGTTACTTCACAAAGATAGATTTTGTAAATGCCCAAAATCGGATATAAAAGTGCATTTTTTGAATGTTACTAGATATCAATTGACAGGAAGATTTTGAAAAATGTCTACTGTAAGTGACAAATCTTTTAAAATAGATAAACATTTGCATTTTGGCCAATTTCTAGACACATAGATAAGCTGTACTGATAGGGAAGGCAATTTGAACCACTTCCATGATAAAGAAGTTATGAGAGTTGACAAACATGAAGTAATCCAAAACTCAGTTCAATTCTATTTATTTGAGAATAGCTAATATATAAAACTAATAAAATCATGCTTTCAAAATTTGTTAATCAAGACCATACATGATGGTTTAAAATCATCAGAAAATATATTTCTCATACAAGTTAGTGTAAATTGTCCTCATAAGACTTTTAAATTAACCAAAGTATCACTTATGTATATGTTCGATATTAATAAGATTTCAAAGACCCTCTAAATGTTATGATTCCAAGAAAAAAGGTTAAAATTTAAATTTAAAAGAATAAATAAAATAAGAGTAAAAATCTTAACAAGATTAATGATATTTATTGATAGAAATCAAAACTGATTTGCTTCAAGAATATGAAGAGCTGTAATTGAGCTCAGGATGCTTTCACCTATGACGCATTTTCCACTTCTAAGCTAATAACAAAACATGCTTCCATAATTAGAACCAAATTTGAACCTCCTGGAATAACTACTACCTAGGTAGATGATTCATATTTAAATAGAAATGACTATATTGGCAGTGTTAACAACATTTTGTATTTTTATGAAAAAATGAACTTCATTAGACCAAAGCTGATTTGTAGAACAATTTCCAATGGTTTATTCAGACAATATCAGGGACTAGCTGGGATGAAAACTAAAGATGAGAGAGAATTTTAGTCACAGTGTTTTGTGTTTCTTTTGGAAAACATGTGGGGTTTTAGGTTTTGAATATTGGATTTTCCAAATTTTAGTATGAGTCACTAGTTTAATCCAATTCGTTGTCTGGGTTTGCAGGTTCTGGTACCCCCTTAAAGATTCCTTCAAGTTACACTCTTACTGTCAAGTAGGTAAAGAGTCCATTTTTATGTGGTTTTAAAGGCAAATCCTTGATAAGTCGCTGTCTACCTTCAAACAGGTAGTAGAGTTTTAATTAGTTGAGGTTATGAGCCGAATTCAAAGGTTTCAACCAATGCTTTTGCCGAGAAGAACAGACCAAATCCTCCAGCTATTACTCCAAATACCATAACACATATGTCTAATGCTATTATAGCTTTGCTAAGCTTATGCCATCTCAACTTCAAATGGAAAAGGCAGGGAAAGATGAAGCATAAGCATGTACCAGTAAAACTGCCAACAAATCCCATTAAGAGACCAAAATGTGGAACAATTAAGGCAACAAAGAGAGCAGCACAAAGAAGCATTGGTCTGGTGATCACAAGCCAAATCCAGTGGTACTTGGAATCAGTGTTCAAATAAGGAAAGTACATCAAAAATCCATCATCAAATGACAAACTGACCACAAACATTGCCAGGGGTATAGCAAGCATGACATTGGTAATCACAAGTGCATTGGCAGTGATACTGAAACCAGCATTTTCAAGCAGGTTCACTGTTGCAACTTCCTTGGTCTCGTTGCCAAATGCCAATACCATGAACACGCCAAGAACTGCTTTTACCACAGCTGCAAACACAAATGCCCAGTTCATCATGTTGTTAAATTTCTCTGGTTTTTTCATACTTGATTCGATGCTTGGGAACACAGCGTGTGCACAGTAACTGAAGACGACGATGCCAAACCCAATTGGAAATGTTGTGGGGTTGAACTGGGGGATGTTTGACAACTTCCACGAGTCATACTTCATAATTGTAAATGCAACCATAACTAAAATTGAGCACATCAAAGCAAACACGGCAAGTAAACTCAGCCAGGATATAATCGACATTCGTTTGATAAAAAGTGAAGGTAAGGCTACCAAACAACTGATAGCTGCCCATTCATATGTTCCTAAACCCGTCTTGGCTTGAAGTAGCTCGCCTAGAACAGTGCCAAGCAAAACGATGTACATTGTCACGCCTCCAAACATCTCGACCACTTGCACAATCGATACCAAACGGAAACCTAGTTTTTTGTAAACAGTCTCCCCAACTTCGGGGTAATTCACTCGCAAACGCCTTTTTATACCTGTTTTCTTTGACTCTTCGTACAAACAACTTACCAACAGTTTCCCAGTGTAGCAACATAACGCCGCCACGAGGAAAATCGATGCGACTGCAGCCCAACCGCCTTGATGCACTGCGAATGGTATACCGAGTATGCCAGTGCCTTGAATCAAATTGCTAACATTCCAGCCTGCAAGCCACGCTGAAGCATTTCGATCATCTGATGGCTTTGCAAGCATGGAAATACTAAGTGAGGCAGAGCGAAATTTAGCAAAACCCGACTGGTTGTTCAGTTCGTTGATTCTGTTGGAAATCTTTCTTCTAGCGGCCAACTTGTCTCTCTCCTCGTCGCTTCTCTCCAATCCAATCGTTGTAGGACCAACTGTTTTGTACCGTCCTCCGGTATAATTGATGCTATCTTGGTCTGCCTCTAAGAGGCGTTTAGTTTCTTCATCTGAATCCATTCTTTCCTCAATGTCTGTTAAATACTTCAGGTTTCTTGGCGAGCTCCCTTCCATTCTGAGTTGAATGCAAACTCGTTGTTTATTGTTAGGTGTTATTCAATTGACAGCCTCGGACCTTTCACGTTTTGTTCCCTACTGAGTTTGTTTCTTGAGCAACACACACGTGTAGCAGCACAGAAGTGTTAACATGTCCCTTCAAGTATTTTAACCGGCCCCTGAGTGACGGGGGTTGCATTGTCTTCAACAAAATTAATTACCACTTAACAGTTTCAGGTAACGGCTCTTTAATTCCATACAGCATGACTTATTCAAGATGATCATTTGTATCTGATATTTTTATATCTTTTGTTTCAATTATTTTCTTGGCAATTAACATTCAATTTATTTGACACATATTTGTCAAGATTATGATCTCCTGCCCGTAATGTATTTTAGGGTTTACGTGATATCTTTCAGTAGATTTCAGAAAAAGTTAGAAAGCAATTCAACTAAGGTGTTTTGAAAATTAAACAATTCAATTGGAGAAGCATTGGAAAGATTCATCTCAAGGCTACATCAGCTGAACGATAATTAGCCTCTCGGTGGTAGCTGGGAGGAATATTCAATTGGGAATGTTGCATGGAAGGGACTAAGGTCCCCCTTAACTTTTTTGCAATAATAGATTAGAAAATGTTTTGAAAATTTACGCTAACGAACGCATTAGTAGCAGTTCTGCTGGGAACACGTTTTTGTTCTTTTTGATGGTGCTTTATCTTGTGTGATCAAAGATAAATTTGTATTTTATCTAACTCGGTTTTGTGTTTGTATTGGTTGGCAGCCAAATGCAGCCAGCCAAACGCAGTATGCAAAAAAGCTAAATTTTTGCTAATTATTGGGAGAGATATCGTAATCAAAATTTGCTTTGTGGGTTACAAAAGTTTTCACTTGCTTTTATCAAAAACTGTACTCTTTAACTTTGTTTCATCATTCATCATTTACAATTTTGAAATTATTTTAAAAGTTTTGAATATTATCTGTGCAAAAAAAATTTTGTTTCCTTTGCATTTTCGTTGCTTTTTTAAACATGCGACCAGAATTCAGCCAAATTTTGCTTCTTCGGCCAAGTCAATTTGTGGCGGATCTTCGGCTAAGGGGTTTTGAGAAACTGCCAAAATGGAGAAATTTGGCCATCAAGCCATGAATCTAAATTGCCTTTTTGTGTATGAAGAATGAGTACATTGGGTTGTCAAAAAGGCCAAATTGCAACTCTGGCCACTTTTGATATTCTGAGCACAGAATAGGAAATAGCCTATTCTGTGTTCTGAGCATGCACTAACCTCTTTCTCGAGCAGGGTTGCCTTGCTTTGAAATCTAGCATAATTTTTGTAAATCTAGCACAATCTTATGACAAATTTGGCGTAATTCCAAAATTGAGATCTGGTGCGTGGTTTCTGCATTACAAACAAGATGGGGGTAAAGGTCATGCTTTCAAGCTGGGCGAAAAGAGAAAAGAAGAAACAAGCACAATCATACATCAGTGAGAGAAGAATTTATTTGCCATCTGTAACGAGGTTTACGTTTATAGTATCAAAACTTTTTGAAGAACAGATTTGATGGCAAAGAATTTGATGTGCATAGTGCAGTTAAGAACTTTTCATAAGTAAAAGAGACTTGAGAAAGCTTCACCCAGCTTTTGTCCCGGACAAAATATTTCATTCAATCATGCATTAAATTTTGAGAAATAAACGAACAAGATCGCAGAGATCTGAGACTTGTTCTCAGAGGAATTCTACAAGACGAGACAATGGCTCGGATTCTCGCAGCAAACCCTAATCCTGTCGATGTAGAGAGGCTGATTCCCACCTACAACAAGATGGAGGCAGGTGGCGAAAGCAGCAAAGCTCCAGAAAAACCTAACAAATAGATAAATATTGCATTAAATATGCTTGATCTCGCAAGTTTCGAGTTCCGAGAAAAGCTGCAAAGATGGCTCCTTTTACCAAAAAACACCAAAGTCTGGCAAGTAAGGCTGATTTAAGGGAGTTTTTGAAGGTGAAAGGAAATAAAAAATATCTTTTTACAGAGATCCGAACAAACCATCTAAAAGAGTTTCCTTTCGATAACTTTTTGCTCACATATTAAGACATCGCTATATGTAGTTAATTTTCTTATTAACCCAATCCATATATTGTAAAGAATCAGCTTTTGCTACTTGTACTTCATTAATTAAAAGAATTTGCCCAATTTGAGCATGCTATTTGCACTATATTGGCAGTTTCTATATTTGCCACCCCCATGATGCCAATCCCAGCAAAGTACCACGCCCAATTTTTATAAAAAGTGTGGATCTGTAGAAATTTCTTAGGCCCTGATTGTTTATATTTTTTAAATTTACCTTTGCTGCTCTAGCATTGATTCATATAAGCATGGCCTACCTATATCATTTAAATTCAAATTAATATCCTTAGATGCTGTTTGCTATAGAAACAATGGTTGCCCTTTCACCCCTAAATTTCAAATCAATACTCTGAATGCCCCTGAGTGTCCAAGGCAATGATTTCTTTGATAATTTTATGTCATAATATGACTCTAAAGTAAATTTCACTGGTATGTTAGTATTTATCCCTGTCAACCTTATTATTCTAGGCATAAAAAGGTAACAAACTCTTTTATAGATCAGCAGAAAGGATCTTGCAAAAAATGCTGGATGAAGGTTGGAGATTGCATGTGTCCTGTTATCTAGCTACTGGCTTTGGGGGAGTGATAACTTGCCCCTTTTTTCCCTGCAAGAGTTACCACAAAGACATCAACACATTATTCTGTTTTTGTATTAAAAATTTTACAAAGGAGACTATTTTAAAAATTATCAAAATTTTATAGATAATTTGGTCATATCTATATAAAGTTTGCAAATCCACAGAGCTGTATTATTTCAAACTAGTAGCAACATATAGGTATTTTCTAGAAATTTTGCAATAGATTATTGTTTCATGATACTTTTATAAGAACATTTCTCACATGCAATAGAAATTATAAATTTGCTAGCTAGTTCACTGGCCTGATTTTATAGAATTTAAATATATAATTCAATGTAGCTAAGTATTCAAATACAAACATACATTTATTATTCATAAATATAGCAGGTTTAAATTCTGAAAGCTTAAAGAAGCTGACAAGACCCCTGTATTAGCTTAAAGGTTAAATACGAAAAAATTATATTTACACAAGTATATTGAAAAAGTTGAATTATTAATATAATCTCAAATCCCTTTTTTTGCTTGTATAAAAACAAATTTATAATTTTTGATACGATACTTCTCATCAGCCCTGTGCACATATCTGGGCGGGTAGCAGTCTCATATTTAGAATTTTTTGAATGGCCTAAATATCTTAATGCAGCAAATTATACAGGCAGCGGAAGGAATTATTATTGTATTAAGCACACTCAGTGGATTATGACCTTCATTAACGCGTCCAAGCCCGAAAGAAAATTTACAAAAAGAACTCATTGCTTCCATTGTTTTGACGTAATCATTTAACAATTTCTAACTCTCAAGTGAACACTTCTTGGACTGGACTCCATTGACCATTTTAGCAAGGTAGCTGCACTACAAATAACAAAGCATTCTACGGACAAGCAAACGGGTCATGTAAATAGCGCACGAGACTTGAGCGAAAATGAAAATACCTCCAGGGATTTTCTGATAAAGCAACTTGATATCTACAAGAAGTGTACGAGATTTTCATGACTTGCCATTCAATAGAGTGAATTTCACATTTCACTCATTTGGTTCGCATTTGGAATAGAGAGAGAAAAGAAAGAGGGAATAAAGAGAAAGGGTCGGATTTCAGAGTGCTGGGACACTATTTTCATAAGGGCCATTGAATAGGGACTTTCTAGTTTGCCATGACCTTTTCTTTTGCCTTGAGGTCTTTGAATTTGCTGTGATCTTTATTAATTTGCTGTGGAGTTTCTAAATACTGAGTTTTTTCTTTAGCTGTGCACTTGGTCTTTGTTTTGGTTTTTCTGTTCACGCCTTTTCTTTTCAAATAGAGCGCTTCCTTTTTCAAATCTATATGTGGTTCTTAAAGGGCCTCTCCAGCCAAAAAAAATTTTTTTTTATTGACTAAAAAGTTAGCATCTGGTGCGTGTATTATGGCAAAGCCGTTGTTTTAGCGAAATTCCAATTAGTTTAGAAGTTATAAGGCTTTAAAGTTGCACCTTTCTGAGAAAAAACGACAAAAGCCGAATCAGTTTTGTGACATTCTGACGTCACAATGTGCGGCTCTCGTTCGCCATGAATTTTGTATTTCTTCCACCGAATCGTGAAGAAGTCATGGTGACACGTTGATAACTGCATCTAAATCTACAGCAGGAGCTTTTTAGGATCGAAAAATATTAAATGTTTACAATCATTCTAAGTTTGTGGGTCGGAATGTGTCCATGCTGTGTCACGACTTTGTTTTGACCACAAAGCTATGGCTTCCTGTTCCATCTCTTCCCTGGCGTATAGGTATAATTAATCGAAATTGATACTCATGTTGTTCTCCAGAAACGATGAACATCTAAAGGCTTCAAAATTGGTTTCTGAAATCAGTGGCGTACCCAAGGGGGGAATAGGGGGGTCTGGACCCCCGCCACTTTTTTAAAATATGGTCCTCGAGATTTGTCCAAAAACGATGTAAAACTCATTGGGAGGGGGGGGTAGTATACTGTATGCTTGTGTCAATAACAATTGTAAAATACTTTGCTATTTACCATAGCTGAAATGAATCAAATAACGGGGGAAAATTTTGCAAAAAGGGCATTTCCCTGCATTTGCGAATGTTTGAAGGGGGTGGTCAAAAAAATTTGGGGCTAGGCCTCAGACCCCCCCCCCCTGCTGCAGCCCTGGGTACGCCACTGTCTGAAATGCTCAAACTAAAAGCCGGTGGAACAGAACTGAGAGTACCATCACTTGCAGTGTTCAGTTTGCGAATCGCCGTCGTTCGATTCGGTTTGAGGCGAGACTAACGAAATACACTGTGACATTAAAATTGCGTCACAATGTCACCAAATTGAAAACATTTTGTCGGTTAATGCAATTCAATTATCGAAATGCAAGAGCTTATATCTAACAAACTGTAAAAAATATCGAAAAACAAAAAACGAATTCGTGATCAGCAAGTTCAACTCCTTTAGATTAGCCAATAAAATGCAAGTGCAAAATTTGGCTGGAGAGGCCCTTAAAGTCTTTTATATATTCGTGTAGCTTGTTTCTTGATTGGGCAAGTACTTCTTCAATTGTGCTAGACAGTTGTGAGCCAATTGGGCAGTTCTTAAATTATTAAGATGCTAGTTAAAATTTGAGACAAGGGACAATGCCTCACCGTAGAACATTAAATATATGAAATCTAAAAAGCATTGTTTAAGATGATAAAATAAGAACATAAATGGATAGAATTAATCATTATCCGGCATGTTTCACTTTTCTTGACAAATAACAGTTAACAAGCAACTAGGGCTGGGGCTGGATAAATTCTCTAAGGGCTAAAACCTTATAAATATATTTTAAAGCAACTTTGAGGGCAGTTCCCGAGTCAAGTTACCTAAAGAAAGTTACTGGCATTTATTTAGAATATCCTGATATAAACCCAATCATATTGTTTTGCTTCATTTTCTGAAGTGTAGCTATTAGACTAAATATTCTTTAGCATATTTAAAATTATATTTGAAGCGTATGTTTGCCTACCAGCCTCGTTTGGATTGATGATATTGGCGGGAAAAAAGAAATGTCGTAGTTTTTGAGGGTTTTAGAGTTAATAACTATTATCCATTTTGTCAGTAAATGAAATGGAGAGCAACCCAAAAGATACACGTAGACCGATGGTCGTAATTTTGAATGCCTCTCTAGCAAATGGAGAAATCCACCGGTTACTGCAGACGAGAAGATGTTTCAGAATCAAGGGTGAGTATTTCAAGATGGCCTAAGCATGCAATCATTGAATTTTCCGAATGTACAATTGCTATGAATTTCCCCTTTTTCTCGAGTAGATATTAAACTGAAAACGCACATGAGCATAATTTTTAAACGGTGTTTTGTTCTATTATACGGACGTATATACATACATTTTACCGACATAAATAAAAGAGGTTTCCAGTTGTAAAAAATTTATTTTTCCGATTCAAGATGCTAAGTTGATTTTACTTCATTCAGTTTTTTAGATGGTTTCATTTTAGCATGTGTGCTGTTTTTAAAGTTTTCTTCAAACAACTAAGGCAACTATTAGATGCAATTTCACATTATGAAAAAATTTAATAAAAATGATCTAAATGAATTTTAGTTTGAATATATGACTGTTGGTAATGTTCAATTCTGTGCATCAATTTCAAATATTGCTTAGTGACGCAAAGCACAGAAAGAGACTCCGTGATACTTCCCGTCAAGTCAATCGCGTATTTGGTTGTGTCTATTTCTGAGCTAGCAAGAAAGTGGCCGTCGAAAGGAGACAAAACTTTGAACGAAGATACCATACAAAGGTAACTGACATTTGCATCCGATTCCCTTAATTGCATAACTGTGGATGCACGAAACCTCCATCAAATGCAACTAAACCAGTTCTAGATTGAAAATAACCATCCCTTTTGTGTGACGCAGCATAATATGATCGAGCCTTGATCAACATTATTGGCTTTTGCTGATTTGCTACCAGAATAGTATTACAGTTTAGTCACGCCTAAACAAATGGATCTACAAGCTACACCCTCACGAAGTACAGACACACCCTTTGCATCTAGTAATTATAGAAGACCAGTATCTAATTAAAGAAGACCAGTAATTACAGAAGACCAGTAATTATTCGACCCTTGTACAATAGCATTTGGCCCGTATCTCCTGGTACTGACTGGTATTGCTACTTCATCACTATTCATTACGTCATTCTATAGCCTTTCTACTGTTAAAAAACTGAACATCTATCTTCTCACAGAATCGAGAAATTCAGCAGCATACACCGCAATTGCCATTTGCTGCTGTTGACCAAAATGACGACAGAAGATGAATTCAATATTTTCAAAGAATTGCAGCATAGGTTGGTAAACAAACTACCATTTTTACAGCGATTTCTGTTTACTGGTTTGCTTCACTGTGTTCAGGCTCGTATTGACAAAGCTGTAACCTGTGACAACTTGACATGAAGAAATACGATTCTATCTTGCTAGGGGGTATTGCCTTTAACCGTTCAACTATCATTCCGTAAATGCCGTTACAACCAATTAATCCTTTTTGAAACGGCCAGAAACTTGCAAACTGTGTTAAAGAATATCGACAAGACTGCAAGCGTTTTTATCAGAAACTAAGCTCATATTTAGTAATAAGTTTCTGAATTTTCATGGAGGTTTCTTAACTAACAATCGTTAAATCGCTACTTTTTAGATTAACAAAAATGTTATAAAATATAGTATGAAATAGAACGCCTAATAAGTCACAAAAGGAGCTCTTCTTTCTGTTTATCAATTTCCACTGAACAGGAAATAGGGGCTTTATCGTGGAAAATAATCAACTTTATTAATTATCTTTAAAAATTGAAGTTTCGAGCAGTTTCTCGAGGTTAAGGGTGATTAGTAAAATGGATTCTTAATTTTTTAGGTCACTTTAGGGCCTAGTTCTTTATGGGCGGTACCTTAGAAAAAATGCGTGTTTAAACATATGCTGACTTGTTTGTTGACATCTTTGAATGATTCTGGCCACAGGCTTCATTTACATCAAGGATGAATAACATATTCAGTTCCATATTTCATAACAACATCTAGGCAGATTCCAAAATTGGCTGCTTTACCAAACCCCAGTTAACAAAATAACTGTTAATGAAAGACTCTTTCGTTTCTTGTTCCTGTCTTGCAAAATGCATTAACGTTGAAAGGGCGAAACATAAACATGCAAGGTTGAACTAAAGACCAAAGGTGTAGCTAAAGTTGCCAACTTGCGGCGTTTCGGCAGATTTCTAGATTCTAAGATTATTATTTACAGGGCCGCCGACGAAGGGAGGCCGGGGGAGCCTTGCCCCCCCCCCACTTTTTTGCAAAACAATAGAGTTTTTTTCAAAATCTTTTGTCGTGGGTGTTAAATTTTCCCTTGGCCCACCCACTTTTCAACCTTTGTCGGAGCCCATGATTTATTTCTCCAAAGTATAAAAGATAAAATAAAGATAAAATAAATGCAATAAACAAATTTATGCATATTATGTATTCCATTTTGCACATGCATTCTCAACTGGCTGAAAATTTATCGGAAGCAGTTTAGCAATTTTGTATTAATGCCAACAGTCACACCTTTGGCCATAAGGTGGTATAAACGAAATTTTTGTCAGCAAATCTGGGGATCTTCACGTCCCTTGCAGTATTTCTTTAGCTTCACTTCTGCTCAAAATAACTATGTTACGAAATTAACTTTAGATGTTTTTAAAAAACATGGATATTCGGAGAGAGCTGCGGATCCAATTGATGAAGAAAAGAAATTATCAAAATTAGAATTAAAATGAAGTTTTTTTAAATATGTATGTCATGAAGAGTTTTGAGAAATTTTCCACACATTGCAGATTTTGGAAGTCGCCGCTGGTAATATACCCCGTTGCAAGTGCAAAACAGTGCATTAGAATGTTGGAGAAAGCGTCAACATTGGTATGTCTGATGGGTCATATTTTAAACATTTGTCATTCAAAGTTGAGCATATGAAAGAGCCTCTGTGCCGTTATATTCATTTTGGTGGAGAATGATAGCAGCGCAGATGATCTCTAAAAAGATTTCTGTGAAGATCAGTCAGTTGGTGCAGATTGTTTCCGCTAACAAACGCCATTCTTTCAAAACATCTAGGGGAAGGTAAATGGGAGTTTTCCTGTGGGCTCCTGGCAAAAACAAATTTTGTATTCTCCCACCTGTATTAATATCATGGGTGTCTGACTTTTATGTTTTACAGTGAACCATGTCAGTGAATCTGGTTAATAAGGAACACTTCCAAATGGCGGGCGAAACATTTACCCCATGCATAGTCGAGGCTCGTAGAACCAGCATTCAGTCAAACATATACAGCCTATAACGAACTTTAGTTACCCAAGTTTACTTGATATGAAAGTTCCAAATGTCCCTCTCGTACCAGATGTTACATTTCACGGTTAGAGCGCTCTTAATTAAGAACTAAAAAGTTTTGCACGTTGTCCAACCTGGTCTGAAATATCATCTTTACCCTCTTTATACTACCTGATAGTAAAAAAAAAATTACCCATGATCCTCTGCTCATTGACAGAACAATGATGCGAATGATGCCTACACCAGTCTACTCAATGGAAATTTAGGAGAAGAAATGACCCAGTCAATTTTAGAAGAAAACCTTGGCATAACAAGTCATCGTATCCTTTCTTTTTAAAGTTTTCATTAATCTGAGGTTTTCAATTCTATAAATCGTAGTATGAACTCTAAAATATCAAATAAGATTTCAATCTAAAATCTCTAAAAGTACGAAACTTCAACGTCGTCTCAGTTATCGAGAAATGAGACCAAGACTATGTCTCGTGTCTGTTACCATACAAGACCGAGAAGATACAGCTTAACCTCTCCATTTCAGGTATCGTTTATGAAGATGCGCTTCTGCGCTTTTTAACTTAATAAATGGCGCTATCTTCACGTCAATCTTTTGTAAATGTTTAAAAATGGTCAGCAGTTTGTTGAATCGAATAGAGAAAACATCAAGCTTTTAAACCGAATAGAACGAGCAGGTTTACAAATATCCTGGCTTCTTGTAATGATTCGTGAATATCAAAGAATATCCTGATGTACGCTGGAACTGTATAAAGCATTCAAACAGCCTACAAATCTCGGCAAATCTAAATTTCCAGGGGTTTTCATCTAGGCCCAAATGATTTCGAGCCTGCTTCTTGGTACCTGTAGGATCCGCCATTATTTCTAAATTGTGAGTTTTTTCTTTAGTTGTGCTGTTGGTCTTTAATTTAGGATACGTATGTAGTGCAAGCGAAAGCAAATGCAACATCTTAGCAGCAATACTGATCGAACTATTCCTGGGTATTGCTGCAGCAGCTCTGTGTTTTCCATTAACGGTTTCAACTTAGAATCGCTGGTGCTTCTTGACGGATGCCAGAACATCGCGAATATCGCTTGTTTCTCTGAGGAGGAGCTAATAGAAAGATGCCCGCTCTCCAGGGACTGTGTGAAACGAATAAGGCAGTTTTTCCAGCAAGACTGCGTCAGTATGTGACAAAGAGAAAGAGACATTTAAAATCATATTTGTGTCATGTTAATTCTACACAAAGATTGAGAACTAAATTTGCTTTTCAAAGTATAAGAGGGTTAGTAAGAACTGTTCTTTTCTTTCTCTCAGGACCGTTCCGTATGACCTATAGTTAAATTCTACATTCAACATTATCTCAAATAGTTTCTTCCAGTCTAAAAAACAATCCAAATGAAAAAATGCGTCCAATTATACCTTTTATATGCTCCAAATAATAACAATTTCCACCAAAGAAAACAAAATAATGATTTCAACGAAACACAAAACAGCGAAATGCATAGGTAATAACAGGTAAATAAAATCTTCTAAAATATCTTAGTACTGCCTGGTAGATGTAAAATGTTTGCAATTTAACAATCAATTTGGACAAATGTCGGTCAATGTGTCTCATTCTGTATCTGAAAACCATGTAAATCTATAAGGTATCAGCAAGTGGTCTCTAGGCTCAAAGCAATATGCTTTCATATCACGTCACATCTCGTACGTTTATACATAATCTGTAGTTCGTTTCTGACAATCTATTCAACAATTATCTATGGCTTTTTACATTGTAAATATTGATAACATTACATCAAGTTGCCGTTGGATTTCTAAGCTTCAACAAGAACCATTAACTTAAACAGAAATTTAAATTCGTCAATGATACGTCATTTCACACAATTGGGACTCTGCTTCTGACCACAGGTTAAAAGCGTACCTTATGTTCCTGTCTCATCGGCCTCATCAATTCACCTACTTTGCAAACCATGAAAGCTTTCGATGGGATGATCTTCCAAAAGGCACAAGGCCTAAATGTATGTGACTTTTTTTACTCTGTTCACTTTTTCCGTCTCCTACAACAACAAAACATGCTTTCATAAGTTAACCGCAGAGTAACTCTGTAAATCACTTTTACGAAAATGACTGACAATATATGCCAAAGAAAATAAGACAATTACAACAAGAATGTTTTCAGTCACGGTGATAATTTATTTAAAGATATACTCGGAGAGGGAGCAGAATGTAATTTTGAACTAGCCTTGTGCCCAGATATTTATTGGGTCAACATAGTCCTGGTCGCCAAGTTAGCAAGTTAGCGTCGAGGGTGCCTGGGCTAGGCGTTTTCTCTCTTAAAATTATCAAGGTGTGTAAGAAAATAATTCGTTTTTATGCATTGACGCGTTATTAAGCTAGGACGTGGGAAAGCACAAACTTGTGTTGCATCCACAACGATGTCCGTACATTAAAAAAATGATATGACTTTAAATGATTCACTTTTTTGGTGTGGGGGTTTCAAGATCTATTCTTGGCACTTAACTGTTCTTTAACCGTGGTTTATTTGGCCGAAAAAAAGCCAATGTCAACGCTCTCAAGTGAAATAGATTCTAATCCATGGACTAAAAAATTGCACCTATGGGCGACATCGATTTGATAAAATGGCACAGATTCTAGTGCCCTGAACAGGATGCACTCCAAAAACGGGCCAAGCCTAAACGCGTGATCTACATTCCAGTGGAAGGCGCACTTTGTTTAAGTTTATTCGTGTCATCGAATCGGATTTATAGAATTATCCGTAAGTGAACTTAGGCCCAACTGTGTAAACGTAACATTGGCATTGCTGATAAACAAAGTTTGATAGATGGGCTTAGCTTCAGATAAGGAACGAGATTCTGCAGATATTTTGCACATCGATTTGAATAAAAACCGACTGTGGCTAATGCAGATAGGTAATATGAAAAAATTCACCTTCTTAAATATAAGAACACGATATTGACGATGAAAGGCCATAGGAATAAGAACATGAAACGGCGAGACGGAAGATAAGAAGCCCACCAAGGCCTACGATTTACCTGCAACCGATACAAATAATTTTAAAAATGAAGTTTATGACAAGGTACTTATTTCTAGTTTTTGTGCAACAGTTTAGGCACGATCAAATAAAATAATCCATGCATGAAAAACAGGGAAGCTAAATACTGTCTCCTGCTTTGTTTTGCGATTGACATGAGTACAAGACCATTTATTGGATATAAAAAACTCAGTAAAACTGAAGTCTGCGTATCGTTCAGTGTATAAGACGCATCCGCCTTTCTAGACTTTGACAGACACACAATTATTTCTGCATCACTGGTTTCTGTATCACAAGCCTGTTTGCTAATTTCAGTATCGATCTTACAGTGTATAAAAAGCGCCCTTAGCCTACATATGTTTGGTAAATATAATAAGAACAGATTTCTGTGTGTCTACATTGCACGCTATGTTATGAGCTTCCATTCACGCATAGCAAAACAAATAACAAACCATATTATTTTCATAAGTATTTTTTGGCACAACAGCATTATCCAAATTTTTTCTCGATCCCCTTTTTTCTCGAAGCTTCTTTCTCGATTCCCTGATTCTACCTGACTCATATTATAATACTGCAAAATTAGATTTGATTAGTTGAATTAGCTAAATAGTAAACAAACATATTAACTCACTGCTTCCGTAACCGAGGTAACTCTGTTTTCGATTGAATCAAGCCTCATCAGGACAAGTCTCATATCATGCTCTAGCCGGCCTAAAGCCTTGACAATTTGTTCACCAATCGTTTCTCCTGACGTGCTCGAGCTCCGTGCACTTTCACTAGAGTCCGAGCTGCTATCTGCGTTGGCTCTTCTTAGTCTGCGAGGAATATGATCCCCTGCTGGCATGGCTGGTTCCGCTAGAACAAGAAAAATTCTTTTTGATAACTGAAAACGACCCAAAATGAGGAATGAGCGCCGGAAATATTTCATAATTTAAAGATGATATCGGTGTTTCCGTAATTCACGAAGTTCTTTATCACCAAAGGGCTGTTTACTGAGAATCATTACACACATGGTTGGTAAACATTCATTTAAAAAATACAAAATATTCACTTCTTTACCATCATAAGATTTTTCTTTCTTAAGAACTTCAGGTTGAAAAACATCGAGGCTTAAGTTGTCATTAGATAGAAGACACAGAACTAGTAATACACGCTTTTATGGCACTGAAAAATCATTAGGTTTTCTGTTTCAACCTTTAAAATAACACATTTTTCAAGCGACATTGTAAGGCTTTACCAATAGACTGCTGGTGGCCAGTTTCCTCTCTTGATTGCCTACTCCCTCTTTCACTTTTGGTGAGGTCGGTTTGGCTACTTCCCCTTGCATCTATCACCAATTCTCTTTGTCTATGGCTTCCTTGCTCTTGCTTTTCCGATTCCACAACAGCACCTTTGAAATCTCGATGGCCACTCCTTGACAACTTGCTTCTTCGATTATGGCTAGGAAATTTCGACTCGAATTCATGTTTGAGTTCTGCTTCAAGTCTTCCAGACATCGGTTTTCTTATTTCATTGGTATGAATGGCGTCCTGCTCTGCTGATAGTGAACTAAGTGTTGACGTATCAGTATGGCTGCCAGCTGAAAGATTTTCACCGATATGGTTCCCATTTGTACCAAGTACAGCTAGAGGTCTCATTTTCACAATAGGTGTACTTTGGACATTTTTCCCAACAAAGCTCACATCGTCAATTTCGCATGAAGATTCTGTTTTCAGTAAGGAACTATCTCTAGTAACTTGAGTAAAATCATCCAAAACTGATTCTTCAACGGCATTTACTGTGCTTACTGTTGAGGTGGTAACCTAACAGGAAAAACCCATAAAAATATATTTTTCCTTTTTAACTACCGGTAAAATCATTTGAAGCTTAGAGCATTCAAATAATGAATTTTATGGTCAAGAAAGAATTTCAACAAAATTCTTGACTTTACTTCACATACGGTCCTTAAAATAATGTCATAAATATTTCAGATATATTATTGTTCTGAAAAAAGTATAAATAAAGTTATTCTAAAATACGAAAATACCCAAATACGGAATTACTTCATAACAGACTCTCAAATGTAACTCAAGTCTCTGGGGAGGGGTGGCACTCCCAAACTTCACCTGACATGTGCTATGGAGCAGGGCATCTTTTTCCCATAAAATTTTTGAATAGGATATCAAAATAAAGAAAATTTTTATAGGACAGGGTCTTTAGGAGCAGAAATTTGAAAATTTTCACATAGTTTTCTTAGAAAAATCATGTTCTGGTTATGTTTATATTTTAATAGGACAGGGAATACTTTAGAAATATTTTCTATGGGACAGGGTTCTCAGATAGCCCAGTAACATAAATAGAAAATGAGGTAATTCATGAAGTTTCTGATTAATAGTAAGAAGAGTACTGAACAAAAATAGAAAACATAATAAAAGAGTAGAGGGATATAATTTATCAACATACCTCATCTGGATTGACTGAATCGCAATAAACATCATCATCACTGCTTTCTGCATCAACATATGATGAAATTTGCATTTGCACTGCTGGTAATAAAGAAAAATGTTTGATGGCATTTACAACATGAAAATTTATTTTATTTGCAACATGCTTTACCTTTTTTTGTCAACTTCTGTCATGAATGTAAGTTCACTATTGCAATTGGTAATTGGGCTAATAAAAACGTTACTGCCAAGAACTTAAAATTAAGATATTACGATATGTCTAGATATTAAGTGATTCTCCACTTTGTTAGATGTAAAGTAACAGTTATTACTTTCATTCCCTTAGAGACAATTGAATAAAATATATGTGAGCCAATCACATTGTATAATTTCAAGTCTTCTAACTATCTTCTAAAATGTTTATATCTGCCAGGACAATCAGGACAATCTGCCAGGACAATTTTGACAAATACCTTTTAAAACAAAGACCTTTAAAACCTAACTAGGAAATTGAACTGTTACCTAAAGAAGCTAATTATTACCAAACAAAATATTAGCAATTTATTCTATGCTTGCCTTGAGGCGAATCACCCATTTCATTGCTGTCTATGGTTCTATTGGCAAATGAAACTTGATTGCTGTCAAAAGTAGAGTCCATATCTTGAGAATCCTTGTGTTCTTCATTTCCATTCTGTGAACAATTTTCATCCATCTGGACCAACTTTACATTAGAACCGTTTATCTCAACTAATGCACTACCATTTCTGCCTGCTTTATCTAAAACCTGACCATTGATCTTGCCATTAAAATGTGTCTTATCTTTTAACTTCTTTTTTTCTTCCATTTTCTTTTCATATATTTTTATCTCAGCAATGGCAGCAGGCATTTCAAGACCAGTAAATTCACAAAATGGAATAATTGCATCTGAAAACTTTTTCTGAGTCTCTTGAAACCCCTCCATTTCTGTAAGTTTCTCAAAATGCTACAATATAAAGCAAGCATGCATGCTTACAAAATTTGTTCAAAAGAAAACTAAAAACACAATATTCTAAAAATATTCTGAAACACCACTCTTCACTGAATTGCTCAGGAAGAAGCATTAATTTTTTATAGTTGAGCCTAAAAACAGAAAAAACATATTTTCTTCAGAGTCAAAGAAAAGAAGAGAAACTACAACATTCAATTCAATACCAAGTCTATCAATGTGGTTGTGAGCATACAAGGTACCAATTGTATGCAGCCTTCTTTTCAAATTCTAATCTGGCCTGCATTTGCATGTAAAATTTTGCTTCTTTTCTGGCCACTGACTTACAGTTAATATTCAGTTTAAGTAACACACAATGTACTTTAATATGCAATGTTTTGGATTATTTGTGCTATTTGAAGTTTTGTAGCACTAAAGGCATTTTTCAACATGACTGCAGCTGACATTAAAAGAAATATGTATCATAATCCTCCTATATTAAAAACAAAGTAAATGTATTCACTTGAAATATGAATGGTTCTGCCTTTTTACTTGAAACTTATTTACCTTTTTTATTTCAATTACATAATTTTCCATTGCCTCTTCCTTAGGCATGTCACCAAGAACACTCCAAGCATCCCTAGACATATAAAGAATGAAATATTTGTTAACCTAGCATCTGTTGAATAAGAAATGAATCAATACCATTATATTTGCTTTACAGGATGTAAATACTTCATAAACATAACATTTACACTTCTTTAACAAAGTGTCCCTCAGCTACAAACATATCGCAGGTACCATCATGCTATCAATTATACCCCAGTGCAAAATATCACAAGCCTTATTTTGTTTTGAAAGCAACAATTCTTAATGATTTGTTTTTGAGATGAGTTTAATATTTTTTTCTTTGTTACTATTACTTCATGCTATTTCAAAAGGCTTAGCAACTTGACAGGATTGCGGTTTAAATTAAAAACTTCTGAAATAATCATAAAAGTAATCTACAGTGGAATCCTGATATTACAAAATCCAGATGCAACTTATTTTCTGGGTAACAAAAAAATTTACAAAAACAATGAAAATTGCTCTCACCATTTGGCTCTCCCGACCACATCCCAAAAAGCTGGTCTAGATCCCTTGCATGGTCCAAATTTTGCTTGCTTGTAATAACCATAAACCTTCCAAAAAAGTAACAATTTCTTTAGAACATATAACTAAAGGTCAACCTTAGTTCAGGCCTGGACGTTTGAGACTGACAATCACCCATGTGCACCTCAGTGCCCTCCTAGATCGTTTGAGATGGGCAATTAATCACTTTAAGGCACTTCTATACAAATCAGAAAATTCTGCACATAGAGCCACAATTTTCAGAACTAGAATATTTCTAGACAGTTCTACCAATTCTAAAAATTTATTGCACCTGCCACTTTTAAGGGCTAAAATTGTATCAAATAGCAGTTAATGCCTTTATGGTCTGCACTGTATGGTCGGTCTAAGCAAGATCTCACATGTGCACAGTTATTTAGTCATGTTTTTCTCATGTAAACCTCTTTTTACCAGGCATATAGATTGCAAAAAAGAAGTTACCCATAAAAGTGTTATAGCAAAGTCAGTTTGCAATTTAAATTTTGGCTTGAAGCACTACAAGGACTTTACATGTCCATGTGCTCACTCTACAGACTGGGGTAAGGAAATGTAAACATTGATACAGGATGGAGTATCAGACATTCTGGGAGGAAAAGTCAATGAGATCCTAAGTAAACAACAAATATGTTTATTATCAATGAAAATTACTGTTTTCATAGTCTTTTATATGTCATATAGTGCTTGATGCGGAATACACAGCTCTGTCATGCTTGGATCTACAGAACATGATAGCTTTAAGTAATTCTAAGAGTATTTATTTGTGATCCTAATCTACAAGTTTATCACAATAGACAAATTGAAGAAAAGACTTAGACTTTACCTTAGATGCCTCACTATATGATGGTTGAAAAGGCCCTGAAAAAGTATAAAAGATGATTAATTGACAACTGTTAATAACTGGCAAAACAAATTTTCTATCCCTGACTCTAGCAAATTAATTTCATTCAAATACTAACACCTTTTAAAAAACTTTAGTGATAACATGATTACAAACTTAGTCAAATGACAAGCATATCAATAATGTTGAAAAATGCAATAAGCACGATTAAGGCTCCTCAAATATCAAAGTTATGAATTGTCTAAAACAACCATACACAACATAGCATGCACCATCGATGGAAAGGAAGGGGAAAATCTTTGAGTTAGCCTTCTTTTCTGAACTATACAATGCAGAAAAGATATCACTGAACCTTCCTCTGGGGAAACAAAAGAACGACTGGAGTAAATATTCATACTAACCTTTCTGTGGCAGCGATCGCACTAGCCCGACAGCACTTTCAAATTTGAGCACAACAAGGTCTGCTGCAGACGTCTCGGTTGGCATAGGCATGTCTTTTCGAATATTTTTTGGCTAAAATCAAATTTTCTTCAAGCGTAATTTATCAAAAAGCAAAGGATGCAAATAGTTGGGTTCTTTATATTAATCATGACAGTTAAAGGTCTGCTTGATCAAACAAAGACGTTAAATATCCAGCAGCTTCTTCTTTACTTGCAACACAACTTCGCCATTTCAATGACCTTCGAACTGCAGAGGTCCGGGTACTAGTATACACTCCTCCAGGTCTTCACCTTTGGGGCAATGTCCTTGAGAAGTTTCAGTCTTGTCTTGGGAAATGGAAACTATGGATCGCACACCAGCCACATAAAATGCTGGGGGCTCCGGGGCTTGCACCAAAAAATTTTAGGCCCACACTCTTCAGAAAGTCAGAAAAAGCCCTTTTCAAAAAAATGCCTAGTTCTTTCCTTCCTTATTTATAATCTTCTGATTCAGAGAAGATTTGGGATAGCATCGGGGATAAAACACCCAGAAAACGAACAACAAATGAAATGAAAGATCAATATTGCAATGTTATTGAATCTTGCTTGTTTCATTTTCAAACTAAGCCAGGTTTTTATCCATTGAAACACTCATTGCTGGGTTCAACGCAGTGGTGGCGCTAGGTTTCCTCCGACAAAGGGGCTAGCACTTCCGACGGAGGGGCTAATTTTTTTAGAGAACGATAGGGCTAGGGGGCGACAAGGAATTGTAAGGGTACTGGAGACCGAAGGCGAGCGTTGCGAGCCGAAAATTCGGGGGGTCCGGGGGTACTCCCCCGGGAAAATTTTGGTGGCTACACCCATTAGATTGGCTAAAAATGCTATCAAAATGGTGTAATCGTGTTTTTTACTACGTTTTTTGACATATTACTAAGGGCACGTTTGCCCCCTCCCTTGCCCCTCCTAGCAAAGGGCAGGAGGGGCGCTTGCCCCCCGCGCCCCCCTTCTCCGGCGTCCCTGGAAATTTTTTTTGAAAGCTGCCTCTAGATAAGCTTAAAACTACTCTAAATCTTTACAACTCATCAAACGTTGCCAATTCAAGTAGGGCCTATCTTTGGAAAGTATGAATTTAAATAAAAAGCAACCAACTGAACTTAAGGAAAACTGGAACACAACGTAACTTTATAGGAACAGACCTAAGCGGTGGAATACGCACTTCTACATATCGAAAATTCAAGTCCAAGAATCAAAATTGTTTCACAGAGCAATTCTACGCTTCCTGAATTCTGATAACAGTCCTTTTAGAAATTTCTATTTCCGCCAAAACTTAAAAAATTCGCTCCGACAAAAAAAATTCAAGCATAATTTATCTTCCGACGGAGGGGCTAGCCTCCTCCGACGGGGGGGCTGTAGCCCCCCCTGCCCCCCCTCTGGCGCCACCACTGGTTCAACGTGATCATTGCTGGGTCTGCTACAATTATTGATAATATATAGTCACAAACTTAGTTAGTATTAACATTACCTGTGGGAATATTTTGCCTGGAATATTTACCCGCTTCCATCAATTTCTTCTTTTAAAAACGTTAAGCTATTGTGTACTAAACCAAATATACTGAAATACGATTATTCAAGATTTGATGAAAGAAAATTTGTTGAAGACTTTGGAAAAACTGATCTGATTTATTTACATTGCTCGTCTGGTGCTGAAGCTATCCAAATTTCTTCAAGATGTTACTTCTTTGGTTGAAAAACATTTGCCAATTAAAAAGAAACAAAACCTAGAACCAAACCATGGATTAACAGCAGAATCCAAAAAATGGCGAGAATTCGAGATCGCATTTTAAGGAAAACTAAAAAAGATAGATCAAAGATCATGATCTGTACAAACAATTCAGATACCGTGTGGCTTATGCTTCAAGAGATTTATTTTCAAAAACTACTTTTCTTTAAACAGTCAAAATATGAAAAAGTCAAGAATTAAATCACTTATTTCCATAAAGCCTCTACTGCTTCTACAATATTTGCCAAAAATAACTGGAACGCCTTCCCATTGCAGCATGCGAATAAACAAAGCAAGTCTAAAACTACCTTACCAAAATATCACTGCCGCTTCAAAAATTTCGACCCCCTCCCCCCGTACAATGTTGATTTATTTTCTCAATACTTTCATACAGCTTTCAGTAAATAAATGTTTACCTTCAGGATCAAAACAGTCCAATTGAACAACATTGTAATGGGGGGTAGGGGGGATTTTTCAAAAAGCTTCAGCTTTGTGCAAGTGTTACAACAATTTTGTCAAGGATTGTAGTATAAAGAAAATCAAAAACAAAAGCGGAAATACAACCTCTGATCCATTTAAATTGTTTAATGTTCTAAATAGCATTTTTGCAAAAGTTGCAGAGAACATTACCAGAAGCATGCCAAGAACATCAAAGTCGCCTATATTACTAATAAAGATCCAAACTCAATATTTCTTTCTCCTGTCACCTACATAGAGGTCGAGGAAATAATTCTAAACCTGTCAAAATCTGTAGGACCACACAGTGTCCATAATGACTTATTTAAAATTCTAGGCCCTCACATCTCTTAAGCCCTAGCCAAACTCGTCAATCAATCTTTTTTTGAAGGCATCTTTCCCTCTAAACCTAAGCTTGCTAAAGTGATCTCCCATTACAAAAAAGATGATCCTGATATAGCCTCTAATTACATACCTATCTCTCTATTACCTTTATTCAGTAAATTGTATGAGCGATTAATGTACAGAAGACTTTCTTCCTTTCTCATCTACCACAAAATAATATATTATTTATTCTTAAGAATATATTGAACAGTATATTCTTTAAATTGAATCTATTTTGAAAATTTTATCTTGTGACATTGGATACTCGTCGTCGTATTGCTTTGTTCCTGTATATCTTCCATAACAACACTCATTGCAAGATTCACAGAATCCGGCGGACAGCCTATCCTGCGGTTCTTCCTTCTCACACAAAATAATATATCCCTTGCAATTTGGATTCCAGGAAAATCATTCAGTTGATCATACGCTTGTTAGTATGACTGAAGTCATGAGGTCAACTCTTGACAATAAAAAATATGACTGTGGTATATTTCTTGTTTTACAAAAAGCCTTTGATACTGTCAATCACAGTATGCTATGCTATGGTATCAGGGGAAATGCCCTTAGATGGTTTGATTCATATCTTTCAAATAGAACCCAGTATGTTTCAAATAATGGAACTAACTCTGATTGTTTGAATGCTGCTTGTGGTGTACCTCAGGGATCAGTACTTGGACCTCTTCTTTTTCTAATTTTCATTAATAACTTGCCTAATGTCTCAAAGAAATTGAAATTCTATCTCTTTGCCGATGATACCAACATTTACTATGATACTGAAACTCTCGAAAAACTTGTTAAAACAGTTAATATCGAGCTTAAATGAATACAGATAAATACACGATAAGTAGGGGGGAGGGGGATACATCTAATCAAAATCAGAAAAGTTTTGCATAAGCGTCATAAATTTGGATAGAGTCTACAGGATCCCAGAATGTTACCCTGGGTACCAGACACGCTAGGTAACAAGCAGCAATGGCTGCCATCTAGATCTCTCTTTCCACCTTATCATACCTTTTGAATGTTAAAAAAATCTGCAGCGTATAGTGAATTGCAGTTGACGCTTCTACCGAGAAACTTTAGAGGAAACGAACACAACATACAATTTTACCTAAAGAGGGCCTGGAATTTTAGATTTAGTACCAACAAAAAATCTTCAAATCTTCGAATCATTAGTTTGTTTACTTTTATTCATATCAAGGAATATCATTTTTAACCAACAGAGCAACTATCTTTGCTCGATCCTTTATTGATTCTATGACATGAAAGTCTTTGAAATACCTAAAGCGTTCCTGCCACCGAGTGGATTTTACCTGAAGTTTCCTTTTGAGATGCTTTATGGGGAGGGGGGGTTGCGACACCCCCAAACCCCCCGGTCACGACGCCCCTGAACCTATCAGACTAGGTGATGCAAAAGCGAGAAAAAGGGAAGGAAAGATGGCAGGAAAACTCCAATTATTTTCGCTTCTTCTAATTTCTTGTACCCAGGGTAAGCGAATTTTTAAACCTAAGTGCAAAAAAATGCTTCTCGGAAAATTAGGTAGAAATAACACAGTTCTATAGTGTAATTTTCAAATTATTTTCAAATTAAATCGAATAAGCATTTAGATTATTTTGCTTATATTCAACGTATAAATTTAAGAACTTTCCCCATGTTTGATCGATAATTCTTGTGTCTGTTTTTTTAATAAATACATCGATAATCCCCCCTGGAAAGAATGGAATGTAGAAAATTGGGATGGTGGAAATCACCTGAACTCGATCACCAAGTCTTTGTGTCATACTTTACAAGTATGTCCTTCTCTTGCTTATTTACAACAAAACACAATTAGACTCTTCTTTTTTTAAGAACAATTTTATAAGAACACGAGCCTAAAAATTGGTCAAAAGTTAAGAGCAAATTAAGAACAAGCTAAGGCTGAGCTTCTGCAAAATGCAATTTTAAACAACGTTTTTTTCTCAAAATCGACGATTTTAGCGATGTGTGGGTGCTTTTTCGGTGAATGTTCAAATTTGTCACTCATTTTGTTGGCAAATGAGGCCTGTACACCACCCTAGAGCGAAAAAAAGCACTCGCACTGCTTACACCCCATTAGATTAAGAACAAATTAAGAACAATCCAGCCTCAGATTTTCGAAAAAATTAAGAACATTCAGCCTGAACTTAAATTTACTGGTTCTTTTGAAAAAAGAGTGTGCGTTCTTTTTTAACTAGAACATTGTTTATAAGAATACTCAGACACAGAATCATCCAGTTTTTAAGAATATGATACAAATATTGCCTAGCCTCAGCTCGTTTATTTGTGGCTCATTTTTCAGTAGCTGCCTGTTTTTTGCTATGATCTTCACAGGGAATCACAAAAGCTGGAATATCTCATTTTTCAAAAAGTGTGGTTTTTATTCAGGAGCAGACAATTCCCCTAAAACCATATCAAATTTGGAAAAAATTATACTTTATAAGAGCAATTTCAGGCTCAAAACGAAAAATTCTTAAGAACATCCACGCAGGAAAAAATTTATTGTATTCTTATAAACAAAAAATGTATATGGTATAATAAAATATTGAGAAAAATATAGGCTAAGTTGATTCTACAACTTATCTATTATACGTATGTCAAATTATTCATACACTACTTGTCGGACGAAATAAAATGTCATAGTTAA